GCGTTATACGCCTGCCGGTACGCTTCGCTAGAGGGGGAATCCTGTAGGTGATTGATTAACGTGTCGTATTGAAACAGTGATGTGTTCTGACAAGAACATATCAGAATAGTTACGGTCGTGTGTTCTGAAAAGAACAGTTTCATCGTGTCGTAAGACACGGTAATACGTCCTGACAAGGACAGTTGTTAAACGTTTTCGTCGTGAAACAAGAATAATATGTCCTGAAAAGGACAGTTGTTAGACGTTTAGTCGTGATACGACAATTTGTCCTGAAAAGGACAGTTATTAGCGTTATCGCAAGGCTACGATATCGAAGTGTTCTGAGAAGAACACGTTCGTACGCTTAGATGGCTGCGTGCAGAAAAAGGCCAACTTTTTGCCGCGCCGCATTTTTATCGCCTACTCTGGTACCTGCGCAACCAATCAACGCTCCGCATCTTGGCACCACATGTCAATATTAGTTGTAAGTGTAGGATAATTTTTAAGTATAATTGTACACAGTTTTGTAAATAAATATCATTCATTATTCCATCTTCACCTCTTCTCTACAAGTAATTAGGGAGTTTTATTTTAACATCGACCAAATAATTCTGGAGCAATCTACCTCAAGCAAACATCCCTAAAGATACATGATTCCTACAAAAAAGTCAGAGGCAGCACAATTTTCATGTTATGTAAGAACCGTGCTCCGTCGCGTATGTATGTTTACGATAAATTCAAAATCTACTGCACGGAATTGCCGTCACTACCGCATCAATGCGTACCTCAATATCTAGAATAATTCATAAGGAACGTGTAGGTATATCGTTTTTCAAGGTGTACGAGGCACGGTTGCTTGCGAGTAGCCGGAGCGGGTCGCTACTTCATAATGAATGGCTTACAAAAGGTAAGGTTTGTAAGCCATTGCAGTAGATATTGAACAATCCGAAAATTCTGGTTGTATCGTTACAGCAACATTGGCTTATGATGTCAATTGCCTCAACTAGTTTTTACTAGTACTAGAGGCAATTGTCATGGTTACAGGCTACATTCCTGCTTAAAATATTATCGCGTTGGTAGACCTATTATTATTATTATTAAAACTTTATTAATTAATCCATAAAACAATTGGTTAGTTTACATTCCTTATTATTAGTATTAGTTATGTTAGTATAAGTTTTAAGAAGTCTTTTTAGTGGTCTAGTTCTTGTATGGCCCCTTTTAGAGTAAAAGTCTCCACCATATTTTTACATTTCTCTTTGTCTTGAGTAAAATTCATCCAGTTTTTCCCCGCCAGTTCTATAATGTCATCTGTCCATCTTTTCTTTTGTCGTCCTATACTTCTCTTTCCAGTAGGTCCAGTCCATTTCGTTATTTCAAGTGTCCATCTTTTATCCCGCGCTCTAGCAATATGACCTGGCCATTTCCATTTTATTTAGCCTTAGAACGTGTATAAGTGCATCTGTAACTTTTGTTTTTTTACGTCAAAATTTTTTGTTTTGTTTATTCTTCTCAACTTTGGAAGAACTATCCTTGCCTATAAAGATAAATGTGAATGAAATAGATACAGGTAGTGTATACCATGCCTCATTATACATTTAATTAGTTTTATAGGCATTAAGATTGTTAACCCTTTCAGAATCTCTTCATAGCAAAATGGAGGATGAATGAAACAGTTGAAGCTGTAGGGAAATTGAATATTGACTCGAATGGTGATATTTTAGACTTGTGTAAAGCTATCACTCAATTGGATAATACTCGCTTGTTTATGAATCATGGCGTTACTTCGGTTGCGAGCACTTTTACGCAGTTCATAGCTATGTCGGTACTTTTGGAAGGGAAATCAGGTAATATTTGCAACAAACGATAAATATAATTGTCGGTATCAACGTTTAGTTACCATTTAATATTTTAGATTTTTCACCGGAGCAATGCAGCGAAATAAGCGCAATGTTGAACTCGGGTGATGTGCTGTCAGCTGAAGTACCTCAGGCTTTGGCAACGTTGGCCTTGATGCTGGAAGAATCAGGAAGAGTAGAAGAATTTAGGAAACAAGACCCAAAGACCGCTATGCACTGGCTGGAAGTCAATCTTCCTTCAGTATACGAACGAGTCTCCGAATTCCTTGAACAACATGGATATAGAGCTATTATGGAAGTAAGTTCATACTAAAATAGTTTTTTGTAATTGGTCTAAAAAACTTTATAAATTTTAGTTCTGTATGTGTAATTATTTTCGGCATTAATTATTATCTACTCAACTTATCAGTGTAAAATATTCTCATAACTTATATCGTCTTATTACGGTAATAGTCTAGAATCTAGATAAATGCTCAGATGCTCACATCATATGTGATGAAATAATTAAAATTTAAAGTTAATTATTGTTACAATATTTTTTCTTAAATTTATCGTGTTTTTTTGGAATATATAACCTAAAAAAAGTGTTTCCGTTTTTCCTTAATAACTGTTAGAAGTAAAATGATAATGACATGAAAAATCTTATATTCTCTTAATGTTTTAAAGTTTGACTTATCAACGAAGCCATGGGCGCTGGTACCGGAAGAGATGATGAAGGTGCTAATGCAAGTTGTCCCTGATCAGCAGACTAGGCCCTCCCTCTCCAGGGATGAGGTGATTGCTTCTCTCAAAACTCCACAAAAGCCTAATACGAGGTAGATGTTCTTATATTTGTTCGCTTGCTTTAACTGGTGCTAGTATTCACCCGAAATTTCGAATTTGCATTTGAATCCATTAGAGCTATAGTTAAATAATTATTTTGTTTATGTGTAACGGCAATTTTAAACAAGGTCTTCAAACATCAAGAAACTTGAACCAGTACCTGAATTACTCCAACTGATTATTATTATCACGACTTAATTAAGTTACGACGTCAATTATATATGAAGAGTATAGGGGCAGAACAAAACATATTGATGCGTTAATTATTCCTATAATATATTTTTTTTTGTGCAGATATGACATAAATAAATAAAAAAAATGTTTCCAGAAAAGCTCTTCGTTGGATCCTGCCTCTATGTCACCGTACAGTGCGATATCGGGAGAGTACAAAGGCGCACATAATCCTCGCTGTTCACAAGCTGCGGTTGGCGGCTTTAAGACTGGGTCAGCTCATGGTTCGCGACTGGTATCTGCCCTCTGCTGAGCTAGTCTTCCACTTCAGAACTCACGAACTAAGAACCTACGTGGAAACGAGGGATCCCGCCTTGTTGAAAAAGTGATCAATTTTTATAGTTTCCCTCACTATTAAGTAAATTTTACAAATCGAAGGATGATATTATACGCGTATAGTATAAGTCAATTTGGGAATTAATGAATTCTTCATAACCTGTTCCCAGTTTGTCTAAGTATTAAAAGTTACGGTCAAAAGTCTGCCTTAAATATTTGTACAAAAAAATATATAAAAATTACTAATATACAAACATATTCTAGGTTAATTTAATTCCTTATCTAACTAGTGATTGAACTATACTCCGATTTTTGATTCCGTAGAATTCTGACAGCTATCATTTTTTGACATGTCAATTTCAATAGGAGTCTGAACATCTGAGTCTATACATTTTATTTGTTAGTGAATGTATCCATTTTATTAAGTGCGGTGCTCAACATTAAAAGTGGTTTTACGGCGAGTGATAATTACGTCCCTTTTCATCACAAACAGTAAAAAACGCACAAGTAGATAACATTTAATTTTATTAAAAAGGGTTACTAAACCTGAAATTAGTAAGCAGTGATGCCAGCTAAAGAATAAAATAACTAAAGTTAATTATATATTGTTCGTGATATTGAAATATTTGTTAGTTTTGTATTAGGTTACTTGAGTAAGTAAATATTTAGAATTGCCTTTTTGTAGGTAAAACATAAAAATACGTAGCATTTTATTTTTTACTGCTCTCAAATGTGTCAAATTTGTCCCATTTTCAGTGGAGAACTTTTTTAGTAGCAACACTTACGAAATGTCAGAATTTTACGGAATGAAAAATCGAAGTACATATATTTCAGTTCATTAGAATCGAAATTATGTGAACAATCATACATTTTTTAAGTTAGGTGTTTCGTAAATAGAGATTATAATATTTCTGTTATTAATTTCCAATAAATTTTTTATTGGAAATTTTCAATAAATGTTTCGTTTTCAGAGCCGTCCAGCGTCGGAACTATTACGATAAATGGGCCAAATTTAAGTTTGCGGAGCTGAATAAGGGTTGGGTGGAGCCATTGACGGCTGCAGTTAGAACGAGTGGGGCTAAAGGGGTGCGGGTCACGGGGACTTCCGTTTGTGGGGGAGAAGTTATTGGCCGAGCATGCGTCGTTCGGGACTTAGCAGAGGTAATGGATTTCTCTTAAATGCTTCTCGCCTTGACGTTTCTGAAAATACCTGATGTTTATAAATATTATGACAACCCATGTGTGTAGATATCAATTTGTGAAGGCGCTTCACGTTCACACAAAACCTCCTTTATTCCTTACAACAATATATATTCGTTAAAAACAGATACAACTGAATTAGTAATGAACGAGCCAAACCTTTTGCTCACTCAGACATTATAAGCATATCATTTCAATTCAGCATTAATAGCATTTATTCGTTTGTTGTACGGGAGTGGCAAATATAGAGTAAAAATAATATCCTATACAGTAATAGTATTTTTATCCTGAACCAACAGGTTCTTTTAAATGGTATAGGATAATGAAAACACTTTTTTACCCGATTATATATGCACACACACCTGATCTCTATGAATTTTATTTTTCAATTCAGGACAACTATAAAAACCTGCTTGTCCATATTCATTATCCATAATCATCGCAATTTTTATATTTTTTTAAATCTTGCCTTGCTTGATTTCCAACAGGAAGAATGAAGTAATAATCCCGAAGCCACCACCAAAATTAATTTATTTCACCGTAACTTGACAGAAAACACTAGTTTACAATTCTGATACCCTGACTTAGTCTAAGCCTGCTTTCTCTTATAAAGTCGTGAACCTAACATTTCAGATTGGTGAGCTCCGCTCAGGAGACATACTAATCACAGCGTCTACGGACATCGGTTGGTCGCCGTACTTCCCACTACTGGCTGGTATCGTCACGGAACTTGGGGGCCTCATTTCGCATGGTCAGCCTTTCTTTAGTTTTAGCCTTTTACTTTTTATTGAAGCCATTAACATATTGACTAACAATAAACGCTGTAACACAATGTGTTATATAAAAGTATGAAATCTCATAAGCACCGTGGGCTGAATGATTTTTAATACAGATATCTGACGGAGACAAATGGATAGAGTTCCATACTTAAATAGTGACTAGATTACTTACTATAATTTAATTTATACTATTTTTACTGTAATAATTGTCTCGTGCTTTCGGAGGCGTTCATTCGTGAACAACAAAAAAACATTTTGGTTGTAAATATTTCAAAATTATTCCTGTGCATTAGCAATTTTAACAAAAAAAATTAAACCCTATACGGTAATTATTAAATATGCACCAAAAGGTTTAACTGGTTTTAAAAAAAATTGTTTCAGGCGCAGTCATAGCCCGCGAGTACGGTCTCCCGTGTGTGGTGGGGGCAGGGGGCGCCACAAACATCTTCAGCACTGGAGATACTGTCCGGCTCACTGCTGACGGAATCGTAGAGACTGTTAGCGAAAATAGCTAATACCTGGATATCAATTTTGTTAACGAATATTGTCATGAGATTTTTTATATAAGGGAAGTTAGTTTTGGCTAAATAAATAGTAGAGATAATTAGTAAAAATATAACAAATACTCTTGTGAGGAGAAGATGTGGCCATAAAGTAAAAATATAACAAATACTCTTGTGAGGAGAAGATGTGGCCATAATGTTATGCAAACATAATTGTAAATAAAATGGTTATTTCTATGACAAAATATTTTATTTAAACAATGGAATAATAACAATATCAAAACAAAAACATTACAAAACGCTATACCAAAACGCATTACATATCCAAAACCGCATCACTTGTTCAATAAAAAGACGATTTAATAGTTTCTAAATGAACAATAATCAAAATTACATTCCACCGAACGCAGTTAGAAACCCCTCGATAAATAGATAAAAAAGGTTATACACGTGTTCAGTCAGCTAGTAGCAACAGCTCGTAGCAGTTGAACGCAAACGGTCGTCCATAGATGACGACATGGCATCGGTAGTGGGGAGCGTGTACTGCGCCTACTAAGTGCGATCCGCGGTAGTGTACGCGGCCAGCGTGTACGCCCGGAGCTACACGTACCGCACGAGCCCCGCTGCCCCCACCGCCCCCCACACCTGCGCCAGCCCTCCACGCCACCCATCGCACTTCGGCATTGCACATCACCTGTATAAACTTAAGATTCAGAAACAAGAATACCAACAAAACGCACTTCTCGATTGATTTTTTATATTATTGTTATTGTATCCAATTATTAATTTTCATTGTAGCATCTTTGAGCTCTCAGTAAAATCTCACGTGCAGCCGATATAAGGCACTTGTTTGTAATTTCAAGTAACAATACTTACGATCGTTTTGTATGGAAATAGAATAGAAAACAAAATGTTTGTATGGAAAGTTTAAACTAAAAAGCGGCAAAGCACGAATTTACAGCGTTCCCTTTCGAATAGTATATCAAACGGCTCAAGGTGCCTATTTATCTTCGATAGATTGTAAAACATAAAACTAATAATAACACGTATATTACTTGATACTTCGTGTAGTGATGCACGGCGCCGTCAGCGTATACCACGCAACAGTGCTTCGACGGATGCAGTGCCGCCGGAAGCACGTTACATCTGTGCGCGTTAATCTATTTTTAAAATCCGCTAAACGTTTCATTGTTTTCAACTTATTGGGCCTTATTAATAAACACAGACTAAAGTTTAATAATAGTCTATTTTTCCTTATCTATATTATCATATAAGAAATAAAGGAGGAAAGGTTTAAAAACCTAAAGTACATTTACTAATATGGATAATGAGGTGCTGCGAAGTAACCATGATGGTAATTTGTATGCGCACAAACTTGTGAGTTAAACGTTTAACAACATAAAAATATATTTTAACCAGATTTCAAAAAACCCGACGCAAGTGGTTTACAAATTTTCGTGTAGTTTTATTACAGTAGTTACAAATTACAAGTACTAACTTGTGCGTGGTGCGGGCTAGCCAGGTAAGTTCTCCTTCATAGAGGCCAGCGGGAACGGCCCCGCTGGGCACCGCCCCACATGCGCTAACCACCCACACTGGGCCTGCAGAACCCCACGATGGAACCCATTCTGTAACAAATAGGCAAGTTTATAACTCAAAGGGTAAGAAAAACTTCTAATCTTGCCAACCACCAACGATATTACCAACAACCATTATAGCAGATGTACTCACAAAACCAGCAATAAAACTACATTAATAATGCATTGATCTTATTTTACACCGAGTGTAACATTTTTGTAAACAATGTTGGCTCAGTTCTGCACAAGAACTAGAAATATTTGTTTTGAAACCTGTCCAAGTTTTGGGAATACAGAATGCAAGTTGTTATTATTTTTTAAGGAGAAATTTGTTAGTAGTTTAAGGTAGTATGTAAGTTACCTATAATCAAATTGCTTGGCATGTATGCTGTTATTAAATTAAATAAATGTTAGGTGAAACATTGCACAACTTTTTCGGAGTAATTCACTTATTTTTCCGCCCAGTCACTTACCAGATATAATTTTCTTGTGTTTTTGTTCCCAGCACCCCTTCAAATGCGTGTTATATTTCTGCCAATCCTCTGCGTATTCTTGTATCTTCCTCTTGAAGTGATTCCATCGCCTATACAATACGATATTGATACTATATTTTCCATTTGCGACTTAACGTTCTTAGAATTATCATGAACTTAACGATTTCTACACCAAAACTGAACAAAAGCTGCAAAGTCTGCTTTCATATCAAGGATAAAAAATAAGATACTTTTTGCTAAAAGACTGCTTACAGAAAGTGATATTTTCAAAAAGACATTTAACTTAATATCTTAATACGTACACTTGAGTTAACGTGGAGTCGGTATCCGACTGATGTTGTAATGAATCCGTTTCTTTCATCTAAACAACAAAACATAACGTTAAGTCTCAAAATTCTAGAATAATCCACGTAAAATGAAAATCAACATTGTTAATAAAATTTAAAGAGACTACCAAACGTAAGCTAGAAAAACATTACTCACCACAAGTGTTAACCACACAGTCCATTTGTTGAACATGTCGATGATATCCAACATTTCCTGCTGACACTCAAGATACACATTTGTCTTTACTGTGCCTCGAGTAGGGGACACGATCTGCAAACAATCCACTCAGTATGTTACAATATATAGAATTCAAATTAACTCGAGATATATTTTAATCGCAATATCCTAGGAATATTATCCGCACCTGTTTATCTCTGTATCTTAAAGCCAAACGCAGAGTCAACTGGCGACTGAATTTGTTGTACTGTCGCCATTGAAGTGCTTCAGTTGCTACTCTTCGTTGAAAACCTCTCCAGGTTTCGTCGGATTGCCCTGAATTATTAAATATTAGCAACATGAATATATACTTATTTTAATATGTGATCTGTATGTACACTACCAGGAGATTCAGCAGACTGCTGAAAGGCCAGCGCTCGGTCAAAGTTCTCCTGAATCCAGTCTCTCCAAGCTTGTACGTTCCACATGAGGCTCACCAACATGGCGTGCCAGTCACTCATCTGCTCAGTGCTCACTATAGGCGCCCCTGTTCAACATTATAACTTTTACGTTTATTTAATTATAACTTTTACGCCATTTAGTTACATCACACGGCAAACAAATTTAACTCACTGCAATTTGATTCCCTTTGCTCTAGCGTTGGATTCCGTGGTCGCGTGGGTTGGACTGGTGGATGTGGGACGTTCTGCGTACAGACCTCCGCGTACATTGTCGTTGGAGAGTTCCAAAAACGTGGCGAAGCTACGTCCATTTCCGGCGGGTCCGAATCGAGGCCCTGACCGCTCTGTGGAGTATAGAACGAAGAGGACGTGTCCGTCTCTCTGATGGGAGTCGGCGACCTGTTCCTAAGCTCTTGGGTTATCGTTTCGCCAAATCGTTCACCGAAGGAGCGGTTGGTCGAAAGTGGTGATCTAGACTCGCGGCTCCGTGAGATGCGCAGAGACCCTGCTTCAGGACTAGGTCGCTCCGGGCTGTAGAAAAGTGAGCGTCGGCGACCATAGGCAGGCGAGTAAAATAAATACGAGGTAGTTGTGTAGCGGCCGCACTCGCCTGTCGGTCGCGTGGCCGGACATGGGGCCGGAGTCCGGTCGACCCTAGTAGGGCACGGGCCAATGGTGATCTCGAGACCCTCGGCGTAAGCACGGGAAGAACCAGGGGTCGCATGGATTGGACCGGGTGCAAGGTCAGACAGTGCTTGCGTAGAGATGTGGCGGGAACAAGAGCAACATGGCCGCGCCACACGCCGCAGGATCTCGTCGCACCACAACTCGCATTGCACGAATACGTTCTTCATACACTTGCACACTTGAATTATTTCTGGAATCGCAAAAAGAATTAACATAGTTGATCCCTGTTCCTCATTTTCATTATATTGTGGTTCGTTTACAACTCTAACCTAAAGAGAAGATAACTAATGTAGCAAAAATAATATAGCTTAACTTACGTGGTTGTAAGAAATGTACTGCTAAATACATCGTCGCGTCTTCAATGACATCTGTAAAGCAAAGTATACGTTAGGTCGTGGTATGTATTGCTAAATTCAATTGCAGTATAATATACGTCACCATCAATAACATTAACGAATTTTTCGGGCGTGAAGCGATGCATGATGTTTCTAAGTTTAATTTGTATCTTCCTCACGACCACCGGATCTGCACTGGCCACGCTCAGCTGATCCGCGGTTTTACTACGTAACCTGAAACATATTTTGTTCAGAAAGAAGAATAGGATGGCAGAGAGTTTATTGGCAGTTGTACTTGTCGTTCTTAATTTCAGAACTGGTAGTAAATGTAAATTTAGAAGCATTTAATTTTTTATCGCAATCGTGTACGGATAAATTGCAATTATGAATAAATTATATTTTGATTTTATTCAGCATATTTAAAGAATACATAAGATAGGTCTACTTCGTACTTGTCTCGTTTTTATAATTTGGTTTCATTGTTGATCACTACAGTGGTTCCGCTCAATAGTAAGATATGGATCATAAACATTAATGAAAATAGCCCAGTCAGTTTGCAATATAAGTATGTATATGGTTGTACTTCTAATAACTATATACGAACATATCAGCGCCCTCTGCGTAAGTCTTCCGAATTTTCCCATGGCGTAACAAAACGTTTCCGCCGTGAAGATCCATTTGTTCTATCAATACTTTCAGGGCTTCGGTTTTTTCAACTGAAAAACCAGGTAAATTTTTAATTCCTGCCATTGTAGTACACAAGTAACCATGGTTAAAAATAATAATCACCTAGAAGCATTATGTAAGACACGAGAAGCTTCGTGGAGTCCGATATAACTCCTGTAATGAGAGATAATATAAATACAGTGTTAACTCTTTATAACCGAGAGTTTTTTCGCCGGCGTTTTCTCTCGGCCTACACCCTCTGTCTTCTTTGCCGATGAGTAGGGATGCCTAAAAGTTCAAATTTAATGACGTGGAATAAGTGATACATGTATCTTATGTTCCATAATAAACATATTTTTTTTTTAACGAATTTCTAGGGACCGAGCATTTTTATTCATTATAAAGAAGTTTCGTTATAGGGCGGGAAGAATTAATGCATGGGTATTGGGTTAAACCGAATACATTTAACTCATTTTTACGTTATAGAGAGCTTTTCGTTACAACGAATGACGTTATAAAGAGTTTACACTGTATTTGTTTTATTGTAAATTGTGCCCTCGTTTTTTGAAGTCGGTTTGTTAAAATTTTCATGAAAGCCAAAATTTATTGAAAGCTTATATCAAGATTGTAAACAATGTAGCCATCTGAAATTAAAATGAATTAAGTATTTGAACTTAAAACTCGTAAAATGTTTCGATAGAAGTTGATTTAGTATATTCTTACCGTCTATTACAGCCTTGCTAGGCCCAGTGCTAGTGACATTAGCCATAAGATTCTGCAGCTTCCCCTCAATCTCTGACTGCAGTGCGGCGTCAGGCCGTCTAATTTGGTCTTCAAAAGATGTCAATTGGCGTAGGCTTAATATTATAAAAATGTACTATTAACAGCCGACACTGAGTCATTGGTCACACTTATGACCACATCTGTGACCTAATAGTTAAACTTCTAGAGCCCCATTGGTCGAAGTAAATTCTAGGCGACACAATAACTGGTTCGCGCTGCCAGACAAGATAGACTAAAACAGGTTATAATGATCAAAGAAACGCCTTAGAAATGTTTGCACCGTCCTCCCTAATCAATTTAACACCTAATCAATTGCTTTCTTGTTTTCATCCTAAAATGATTCGTGGTTTAGTTAGATATCATTTCAAGTAATGCAAGGTATAAAAATTAATGCTAAAACTAAGTTTTATCAAGAAGATAAATTAATCAACTTTACGTGTTTCAATTTCACGAGAACGTATACGTTCATACCAACAACGTACGTACCGTAACGTTACGTCACGTTAACGTTTTTCTGGGCTATTTAAAGCATGGAGAAGTATTGAAATCACTCACTAAGCCGCCGCATCCTTGTACGATTTGGGAATGTTTCCCTCGATAAGTAGGCTGTCCCCGGCCGCCTCCATTTCGTTTAATAATGTTACATAGGCCTCAATTTGCTCATCTTAAAGATCAATGCTTTATATCAGTAGCGTAATTAAATTACATTATAATTTGACAGAAAAACTTTAATTTCAAACCTAAAGGGGAATTTCTATATTATATTTTATAATAGCGCAGTAAAATTTCATGAATAAAATTGAATGTAAGAAAAATGGTTACCAATAATTAGCATTGTTTATTTATAATCGCAATTTGCTAAACAAATGTTGTACCTGGTTTTGTAACATGAGCTGATAGATAGTCGGATGCCTCTTTGCTGTGATCTGTAATGAAGGATTATATGTAAAAAAAAAATTATTTGTTTTATGAAGAAAATGATTTTTTTACTTGTCTCTATGATAAAGAAACTCGATAGTACCTATCGATATAGGAACAATTAGCTCAAATCTCTTCTAGGGTATACACCGAATACCTATTGCGGCAATCCCTTGATCTCCCTTCAAATAGAACCCATGTTTATGTCACTTGCATTGATACTAATCATTTCTTTTGCCTGGTTGTTAACCCAACCATTTCTTGTGTAAAATAATTCAAGCGTTCATCAGCTAAGTAATAAAGGTTAGCTTGCATTAAAAACTACCTTTCATAGCAGAAGTGAGTTTCCTAGCCATCGATCGGCAGCGAATCATATCGTCCAGCTTTTTGGACAGAAAGTATGAAACTTCCGCACACGGCTCCGGAACATCCAAGGAGGATGCTTTCTTTAATCTGGAAATTGCATAAAAGACTATTGATTATTGAAGTACAAATAATTATATTTATATGAACTTTGAAATGGGAGATTGAAACCTTAATATAAATTGTACCACTACTGTCTTTGTTAATTTATCATCTTCATCAATATGATAATGGTGTAAATACCATTTCACATTGATTTCATAGCCTAAAGCACAAACCATATCTTAGATAACGAGTAGAATAAAAACCTTTGCGCTGCAAAGAAATACGTCTCGGCAGCGCCGTCGACTTCGATGAGTATTTCGTTGCCACGTTTCTGCATTTCCGATATTAAAGCTTCACGAACCAAAGCTTTGTAGCCTGCAAATAATTCGTACGGTAAGCAAGGACAAGGCTCCGCTGTTACCGCATCTCTCCAACAGCGAGTGTCGTTGGCACCGTTTTTAGTGGATATGCAATATGCATAATGAGTCCATACGACCTTCCGCAGTAAGCAGTTGCGCCACAGGAGCGTATGCGCAACGCAACGTTATGACGACTAAACTATCCGATATGGTAAGATTTGCGATAAAGGGACATTCTGTCGTTTATTATATTGTTCCAATGTATATAAAATAAAAATATACAGCTTTGTACGAAAACTTCAAATCGGTCTCGTGATATGACAAATTTAAACTTGAGTGACTCCCCTCTGACGCATCCGTTGCCGCTAAATAAGTGCCCTATTACTAAATACTTACATAAATATTTATTTTAAATTTATACCACCGTCTACTGAGTCTAAGCTAAATTGTTTTCATAATCTCACAGTAACGAGAACCACTAGGATTGAACGCGTTATAAAATTAGTATAACTCCTAAAACTTACTTTTAGTTACAAAATACTCTGACAAGATCCTTGAGGACTCGATTATGACATCTGAAATTTTATTGAATAAAATTGAATAAATAATATATATGTCAAATATTCATTACCTAAAGTACATATGCTTTACCTTGCATGGTATCATACATATCTACTGGTGTGCTCTTGGCAACAAGGCCGCTGAGTTTCCTCTCAAACTTTTTGTGAAGGCGCGCTGTGTCACCCGATTCCTTTACAGCCTTATCAACCTTCATTGGGGGCTTCATTGACAACCTAAGAACAATATCAAAACATCTAAATTTCACTACATATTTCAATTTTGGATACCAAAATTGTCAAAGGTAATCTAAATGTGGGCTAAATTAAAAATTTACAATGGCACATCTGTTATTAAGTGCCAAATAACAAACGAAAATAGAAAGGACTTTTTGACAAGATAATAAACGTTGTGTAAAAATGCTTAACGAGGAACTATCAAACACTAACCAGTCCGACGCTAGAGCGTGCGTAAGCTCTGTGTGTGGTTGCTTGTACATCGTCTCACCGCCACGGGCTCGCAGCTGACCGTGTAATATATTCATTGCCTCATCGCGCTCCCTATCATCTATTTCAAAGATAAATAAGATTTTAAACTAGTAAATTATTACAATACGGATACTTATTTATTTATTTAATTATAAGTAATCTTACAGCTAACATACATATTACAAAACAAAACACTTAGACAATACAGAAAGCCAAAACTGTTTAAATAGATAAACAATATGTACGATAGAAAACTACCTATATAAAGAAAACTGAAATTTAACATTTAAAACAACAAATAATACTCAATATTTCAAATTACTCCTTAAACAAAATCAGAGTCTTCCCACCTCTTTAAATACTTTCTCTTCGGTGAGGTGGAAAATATAAATATCCTCATAATTAGTGTCATAGTTAGATAAAACCCGAAACATTGACGAATTATGCAGGTAATTCGAGTTCGTACGAGGCACATGGAACAATTTTGTGTGTCTTGTCGCATAAGGAGTAGGAATTTTAAGAGAAATTAACGACAGCAAATAGTAGCAAATCATAATATAATACTCTGCTTTTAAATGCTATACATCGAAAATTACATACCTCCGCTAGTTAAACCTAAAACAGAAATATAATGCATTATTAACTTAAAAATAAATTATAAATTTTTCAAATATTAGGTCCTTACATATGAAATTGGCGTTTTGTATGGGAGGAACAAAAAGTCGAATATTTTTAAATATAATATTATATATATATAATTAATCAAAGTATGAACCATTGTTTTCTATGCACTTTTGCCATCTCAAAGGTAGTTCATTGATCCCTTTACTAAAAAAACCAGTCGGACGGGAATCAATAAAATCTGTGAAGGCGATTTGGACTGCCCCATCACAGTTAAATTTTTTCCCTTGCAAGAAGTTGTCCAAATTTCGAAAAAAATGGTAATCTGTTGGAGCAAGGTCCGGGGAGTACTGAGGATGTCTTAGACATTCCAATTGAAGCTCTTCTAATTTGGTAGCCGTCTATTGTGCAGTGTGTGGTCTAGCGTTGTCGTGAAGTAGCAGTGGCGTGGAGCGATTGACCAGCCTAGGTTGTTTAGCCGCAAGCTTTTCCATCATGGTTTGCAATTGCTGACAATAGACATCAGCCGTAATAGTCTGGCCAGATTTGAGAAAACTGCAATGAACAATACCGGCACTAGTCCACCAAACGCTTACAAGTAACTTTTTTGGGGTTAATTTTCGCTTGGGGCAGGATTTGGCTGGCTGGCCAGGATCCAACCATTGCGCTGAGCGCTTCCGATTATCGTAAAGAATCCATTTTTCATCACAGGTAATGATTCGGTTTAAAATACCTTCATTATTGTGCCGGTTCAGTAATGTAACGCAGCAGTCGACGCGCGTTTGCCGGTTTGCTTCAGTCAATTCGTGAGGTACCCATCTTTCAAGCTTTTTAATCTTCCCAATTTGCTTCAAGTGAATTAAAACAGTTTTAACACTAACACCGCAGCCTGCAGCTAACTCGGACGTGCTTTGCGATGGATCCGCTTCCACAATAGTCTTCAATACTTCATTATCAAATTGGGTCTCAGGCCGTCCACGGGGCTTGTTCTGCAGGTCGAAATTTCCAGAACGAAAACGTTGGAACCAAAAACGAACTGTGTTTTCTTTTGTAACATGACCGCCATACACATCATTCACCCTTCGAGTCGTTTCCGCAGCACTAGTGCCACAGCGGAACTCGTACTCGTAACTTTAAGTTTTCCATGTTGTAAAATGAGTGACGCAAACAGAAAAAAACAAATGAATGACGGTCATCGAAGCACAAATACATGAGTAAATAGCTGTACAAATTTGAATTTGGAATTCCTAACCAAAGAGGAGAACATCGTGATTAAAGTGGCCAGTACGAAAAACGCCAATTTCATATGTAAGGACCTAATATATAAAAGAAAACAAACACGTCATGAGTATCATACTATTCAAAAGCCAAATTATTATTTAATTATTCTAATTATTGTACCAGAAGGATTTTTAAGTGCTACTTAAAAAAGTTATTATTATAGGGTAAATTACCTTGTTCCCTTCTCCGCGCCGCCTGCAAACGTCGAAGTCTTGCTGCTTCTTCAGCATCCAAGGCCGTTGCTGATGCTGTTGCAGTAGGTGCGGAAGGAGTACCCTGGGTGGCTGCTGATTTAGCCCTAGCCGCTGCACGCCTGCTTAAACTGTTTGATAATAAAATATATTTTCAAAGTACAAGATAAACCTACATCGAATAAAACGTTTCATATAACCATTATCTGTCACGCATATTAAAATATTTAATGTCTTTAAATTGTCTTTTTATAAAACAATATACCGTTTTGTATTGTATCTATCGTTAAATATGTACCACGGAAGAGTATCTGGACACTCACTAGCCATAAAATTAGCTATAATGTAGTTTTCTTCTTAAAATAAAGTATAAGGTATTGAATAACGAAGTCGTGTCACCCAATTAGAAAACAACAAGATTGCGGGCATACAAAGTAAAATTATAAAAGCAATAATATTAAAAGAACAGATTTAATTACCTACCTCCCATCTAATTCCGCGAGAGCTTTCGGATCCAGACCACCTGTTAATAATAAAATACAAATTAATTTAATATTTATATACATATCAAATTAATTTACATTAATAACAAAATTTTAACTTACATTCCTTAGTGGCCACGCCAGCCACGTAATTAATGGCAATATCCGATGTCTCTAAAACAAATGTCAAAAATTTATCTTCATGTGAGTAAACGTGTGTATATTTATAACCACAATGGATTTTGCTGTCTATATGCGCAGATAAAATTAGTTTTTTTAGGATAACAGGCATATTATTAGTCTTAAATTAAGGATCTTCAAGGATCTTCTTAAGGAAGGTCAAAACCAATTATTCTAGTAAAATATCAATAATTCAAACGCATCTGTAAATCGGAGAAATACCTATTTTTAACATTTATCTTATAATTAATATTTGCAAATATATACGTTATATATAAAATGTATTATTTATTATGCTATGACTCAAATATACATCTCATTTTACATAATATATATCTTCATTATAAGGTTATAGGCCCTTATAGAATATCTCTATATTTTTTTACCTTTAGCGAACGGTTTGGCAGTCTCAGGAAACTGCAGGGGTAAAGCTTGCATTTTGGAAGAAACTTTGTCCGCAACCACGGGCGATGGCTTCTGCCCACCAAAATGCGATGCACCCGAGAGCCTAATAAAAATGGATTGTGTCAAGAATCATATAGCATCTATATGATTAATGTTAATACGAAGCAAAGTCTTTCTGTCAATCCTGCCTCGTTTTATTTGGCGTTTTCTAAAAGATAACTTAAAAATAAAATAAATTCAATCTGGTATTTATCAAATAAAATAATGATAATATTTCTATGACATACATATCAGCGACTTGTTCGTGGTTTTTGGAGAATTTTCCCAATGTTAAAAAGTCTTTATCTTTTTCTTTCTTCAATCCATCGTGTATCACTTGCATTGCTTCCCCTAAAATATATATTACGTATTATTTCTATCGCCTTTAAGATATATTACATATTTCTTTTACGCACCTCGTCCTTTGATAATGTCTGCTAAATATGCAGCTCCTTCTTTGGCGGGCTCTACAAATAATAAGTCACGATAATATTGTCTTTTGCAAACAAAAAAAGACCTTCAAATGAAAAGAATGCAGCTTATTTCAAGTATCTGTCTCACTTAACACACTATATTGTATCCTATATTAACTAGATCAGCGATCATTTAAATACCTAACCTTCCGTTGCTTACAGCAAGAGTAGACGTTAGCTTGCAAAAGCAAACTCTTTTTTACCTTAGACTAACTGAAACTAACTGAACTGAATCTCTGAAGAAATTATTTAAATATTGCAAAATACATCGCCAAATTTATTGTTTTGATTGGCGTAAACTATCCAGATCGTATAAGTACTTTTACGCGGCGACCCATTAATACTTAGGAGTTGCTTAAGGCGAGTCAAACAAATAATAAAAATTCTGTTAAAAGGAACCATAAATAAAAAGGTGATCATAAAACCTTTTAAAATATCTTGTATCTTCTTGTCATCCGGTATGACTCCTTTTATTTTTTTGCAGAATATCATCTTTTGCGGCTACGTCACGTGCTGTGGTTACACCCACAGGTGCATTAAGTATTCTATAAGTTAATTAATGTTATATAATAATTATAGTGTTGCCTGATTTAACTATTCTCTTTACTCACTCTTGACCACCTTCCGTATATGTCATTTTGTATATACTTTCTTCTCTTAATATTTCGTCACCTTTGCGAGCCATTAAATCGGCTAATACTTGGCGTTTCTCCTTGTCATCTATAAAATTATTTATTTATTAACACTTTGTTATCTTTTATACATATAAAAACAGGTTACATATATTACATATTAGGCCTCGGGCGGCCTTATCGCTAACATGCGATTTATTCCAGACAACCCATGGGATAATATAAAAATAAACACCTACGGAGGGACAAGTACAAGAAGTGCATAAATAATTAACAAAAAAGTACATAAAATAACATGTAAAACTAAACTAAACTAACATCAGAAAAAATTGTTTTAAATTATAATATTAATAAAAAGGTAAAGGCTAATCTTAGGCTCAATGAGTTACGATAAATATATATCTGTGGTCATAGATCAGACAATGATAAGTACATTCATTCATATATCGACTGTTTCATATTGTAATAGTGCCTTCAAGATTTCTTAATAACTTAATTGCTTTTCCTGTAAAGTAATGAAATTGAATTTATCATATTCTGATGGCCACAGATATATATGTAGCTAATTACGAGGCTGAAGATAAATGTTCAGAAGATTTTTAAATAAATTTAAACACTGAGCGCGTCTAATTTCAATTTCTTTAAGTAAAGTGTATATATGTTACTGTAAAAGCTCGAACTGCAGTAAATCCTAAGATATTCCAGTAAAACCTAAGATCTACCAATTGCTAATGGTAAATGTCCCAACCATTCCGTTGGTAAATCTTAGGATTTACATTAATGGCACGGTAAATGTTGAAAAACAAAAAAATGCACCTGCAGATCATCAGGATTACTTTGTAATTCTAAATGCGACAATAACAATCCGTGTTGTAACAAGTGAAATGTTTTTTTAGGTACCTTATGTAGGTGAGATATTCAGAGATATACGTTATGTGTTTTTTCAAAATAATTTAAATAAGTTGCTATTAGTTTGTACTTATTACTATCATAATATGATACCTTTATAATACTATGTACCTGTTTTGTCTAATAGTTCATTAAAGTAAATAATTAAGAATTACTCATTGTTTTATTCCTAAAACCAACATCTACCAGCTGACGGTGGTAAAACCTAGCATATACTGAATTCGAATGGTAAAAGCTCGAAAAAATCGTCGTAATTTCAGAAATACTTACATTTACCAACTCATAGTTCGAACTTTTACAGTAACATATACATTTATTTAGGTAAGGAGTTCCAAAGCAGGATACTTTGCACAGTAAAGGAGGATATCATTGTGTGTTAGTCATAAAATTCAGTTATAAGTAGGGGTTTCAAGAATTACATTGTCAAGGGAACGCAAATGAAAACTAATTTTATCGTGAAAAAAATAATTTTAACACTTCTATGATATGGTATTGTCAGGAAAACTTACTTTCAGGAAGAGGTGATGCGAGAAACTTTGATGCGTTGTCTATAATACCTAGAAAAAAAAACAATTTTGTAATAATTGTATAATGTTGTCACTGCATAGTAGGTAAGTTACCTGGCATGACTTTTGCGTACTCATTATTCGGTTTCGCTTCAACCAATCCATTGAACTTTTCTTTCAGAGATTCGTATGTCCCTTTGTCAACCTTGTCAGTCGCCAAACTTTTGCTAAGTTCGATTCTGGAGATCAAAAAAAAATTTTTAATACTAGTATCATTTTCAAATTGAGATACAGGTCTATACCCTACCTTCTAGCGCCATCATTATAAGATTGCTGGTATCCTTGAATGAGCCCCATAGGAGATTCTCCTTGATCTTTCATCAAATTGACTAAATGTTGAAGTGCTTCTCCTAAATACATTAATTTTTTGGTATAGATTTATGAATCAATAAGACAGGCGAGAAAAGTTTCAGCTCTACGCTACTGCACTTGTGCCAGGTCAATACAATTCCAAATAACAAAATCAAAGTCAGAGAAATGGTACTTTTACTGTTTGTTTTTCTCTTAAATGGTATATTTACATATATAGAAAATATTATAAATAATTGTTATACTACTAATCGCAGTACCTTTCTCCATCCCAACTTTTGCCAAATGTTTTGCAGCGTTTTCCATTGTGGCTGAGAAAAAAAATACAAAAGTAAAATATAACTCACTTAATCAACACATTTAAAAAAATGGTGGTCGATCTTTGCTAAGAGTTCTGCTTGATAAGTCTTTTGAACTCATAGAAACAATAATAAATAATTTGCAATAATAATAAAAAAACAAACCACTTATTTCATTAGCCATGGTAGGGGATAGTTGAGGGGGTACTCCTTTTTCCATTTCTGCTGCAATTTCGTACTGGAGATTTTCAGATTTTGGATCGGATTCCAATGGCCCTGAGTACTTTAACCTATAAGAAGCGTTCGAATGAAATAAAAATATTGTAAATAATAACTGCCTTCGTTAGTAATTGCAGTCCCGAAATATTTCTCAAGACGATTCAGCTATGGCGATAATAAATAAATAATTCAGATTGATTTATTATCAAAATAAACAATCAGGCATATAAAAATAGGCATGCAAATTTTATATTAAACATCATAATGGCACATAAATAGGAACAGTTAAGATATGTATAATTGTTGTCAAAACTTATGGTCTAAATACTCTTCCACATTATGTATGTATGTATTTAGATGGATAAAAGAGTAAGATAACGCAGGAAATACACCAGTTTTGCGTAGGGACAATTCCGATGGCTTTACGTCCATGTACTTACACATCAGCACCATCTGCATAAGTCTGGCCAAACGCCTTGTATTTAAAAAGAGATTTAGATCCCAAGGATTTCTTTATGGCTGCTAGAAAATTGAGAGGGTAGCGCTCGCCGGCAACACCACCTACGATCAGTTGACTATTAATATCTAAATATTTTTAAATGTAATTGTTATTCATCTGTAGTCAATTATTACTTACTACGTAAGGCGCTAGGTTGTGATAGAAACTTCGCCGCGTCTTGTACTACGGCTGTAAATTAATTTCAATATAAATATGAATTATACTCAATGAATACATTGGCTTTTGGATAAAACTTACCTTTCATTGCTATCTTTAAATCAGGCGGCGTCACTTTTTCCATATCTTTACTCAAGTGTTCCTTTGCTTCATCTGCAATATCTTTGATAGGCATATACGGCATAATAAGAGGTGACGTTTCTATTCTAGGGTAAAAAAATGGATACAGTAATAATCATTTTATATGAAATAATAAATAAGACTTCGCCTTACTCTTTCGCTCCAATATCGTAAGTCATAAGATAGTTATTTCTTTTCGCTACCTCATTTTTCGGATTATTCTTCATCATTTGAAGAAGAGCTTGCATTGCTTTGTCTGTTAAAAAATAGTTTATCCGTTGAATTTCAATATCCCTTTTTGTTCAAAAATGTTATATCCTGTGATCATACCTCTGTCTCTGATGAACGCAGATAAATAGTTTGCACAGCGTTCAATGACCTCTAAAAGAAAGAACATATTATGTGATTGTTACGCAATTTGGTGTCGAACCTTTGAATATCCAACCAACCGTTCATATCTTTTTTTAAGTTTTTTGGAGTAACAGTATCAACTGCTTTGTGCAAAGGTTCTAAAAATACGGGAGCCGTAGTCGGATCAGGCGCGCTACTTGTCAATCCTGGCGCAGACTTTAATCTGAAACATATAGAATACATTCAACTGAGATTATATATCTATATCCGTAAAAGATTCCGAATTCGAAAGTAGTGAACATATATAGAGTTAGATAAAAATCATTATTTACGTGTAAGCTGCAACAAATCTAGTAGGTAGTCCAGAATACTGCGGCGTGAACGGCTCCTGTCCATTTTTCTCTAATTCTTTAATAAGAAGATCGAACGCTGGTCCTCGCTCAACTAAAATTACGGTTAATAGATTATCATTATAAATCAATATTACATTAAAACATCTAGCAACACCTACTTTCATCAACAGCACACTGTGAGAGATATTTCGAACATATGTCCAGAGTTCCTGCAACAAAAAAGGTTTTTAATGTAATTTCAGAAAGCTTACAGCAAATTGACTAAGCCATATACCTTTCATATCTTCCTTTAACTCAGCTGGAGTCTGTCCTTCAACTAGCTTGGAAAGAGCGGAATGAATTTCTTGAGATAAATTCGGATCATCGTGGTCGTTTTCTAGACCCTTTGCGTCTTCTAATCTGTAAACTTATTCAATTGTACTAACATGATATTATACACTTATTAACGTCAATAAAAGAAATGATTCTAAATTAGCATAATTTGCAATTGGGTCTGGCTTTTCAACATTGTTTAATCACCACATTTTCCTTTAAAATATGCAATCATATCAGAATCTGCTACCATTCAACCATGTTCTACCTATTGAAGCATATTGTAGCTCTAAATAAAACCTTTATTGCTATTTGATTTCTTTGTACGCATTATGTATACGTATTACTAGTCAAACTTTCTGCGATACATCATTAATATTAAATTCCCCGGGAGGCCAGATAGCATAATTGGAGTGGAGTTAAATATTAAAAAAATAATTACTCTGTTGCTGCCTTCCCATAAGTCCTTTTCGCCTTGCCTTTCTGGTACAACTGTTGAGCTCCTTTACTTTTCATTGTTTTGACCAGCAATTTAAAAGCTGGACCTTTGTCTTCTACAACATTAAAAAAACTGTTAACATTCAATTCAAAAAACATATGAAAACAAATGTTTAATTAACTTACTATTATATTCAGCAAATTGTGCTAAATAATTGGAACAAATTTCAACCATTTCTGAAAATAAAAACAAGATTTGAAAACACACATTTGAAAGATTAATCAATTTTGAATTATACATATATATATTTATTTATTTTATTTTTATTTATTTACACTTTTTTGCAAAAGCATTAATATTAATAATATTAACAAGCAACCGAAAAAACTAATAACATAGTTCGGACATGGTAAAATGACGGACGGCCTTCGCTAGTAAGCTATCTCTTCCAGGCACACAGGGGCATTAAAGAAAAAAGTAATAAAGAAGAATTATGAAGAAGTCCAAGTGTGCGAAACCTAATTTATAATACCGTTATAATACTTATAGCTTATCAAATTATTAAAACAAAGGGAAAACGAACAAGCAATGTAAAGAAAATTAAAAATTATTATGATCACACCTTTCATGAAGGGCTTGAGGTTGTCTGGTGTCTTTGGGGCCGCAGTTTCGCCAATATCTTGCTTCAGTTGGTTGGCTATTGTAGAGTTGAAATCAGTAGCATTGAAATCGATTGCTTGCTTTAACCTATATCATGTTAAATCTTAAACTAAATAATATTTGCAAAGATACCAGTTCACGTGCTTTAGTTCGTCACGCAATAGTATTGGAAGCGTTTAAGAACATCCTGTGTTTTAAAATGTGTTCCAAAGAAAGCTAAGAAATGCCATGCCACAAGCGCAGACGCAGAACGACCCAAGCGACACATTCTGTAGTAATCTTTGTAAGTAGTTGATACAACGCTGTGTTCCTCTGTAACTCTTGTTTTTAATATATAATATCTATCTTAAAAAAAGTGTGTGTTCTTCTTTGGGGTAACAATATAAAAAAAATTCATAATGTTATTCAACGTTTGTAGAAAAAACTACACTACCAAAAATGAAGTATTACTTCAATAATAAATTGAACTATGGTCAGCACTTACTCATCAGCACCATCTGAATAGTTGGCGGTGAACTTTCCATGTGTAAGGAGATGCGTGTCTCCTTTATCGTACATCGACTCCGTTAGAATATTAAAGGCCTCCAACATTTCTCCTGTTGATCAACGTATATTTATATGAACTTTCGTTTAGAAGTCCTTCTCTAAGAATAACACGTCAGTCATCATTTTACCTTAAGATAAACAAAATATATATCATGTTGGAAATGCTTACCAGTAAAATTAAGATAAGCAGGCAAAGCTGGAAGAAAAGTGAACGTTATCAAAGATTCAAAACATAATAAGTAAATAATAAAACATACGTACGTAGTTTTAACAGCCCACCCTGAAAAACAAAATAACAAATTATTCAGTGTTAATCAAAAACCCATCTTTCATTTTCATCCAAGATACAAATGAACACTAAGAGAAAATGAAAGATGCCAAAAAGATTATTTACAAAAAGAAATTACCTTAAGTGTTCATTTGTTTCAAGTTAGTTGAGAAAATGAAAACACAAATACAAGATTTTACTATTTTTATAATCATTTTAAACATTTTAATTCTGCGTTATCTTTCATAATTCATTTCACCATAAGTTCAAGTTCATAGTTCAAGTTGGTGCTGTAGGTTGTGGTTTTTCTTTAGCAACTAATTTCTGGACTGTTTCTAAGCTGACATAAATCCTTTTATTTCCGTAAAAATCTAAGCGTCTGATCAAAAGCCCCGCGCAATTCTCCTTCTAAAATTCATTTTTGTTTTTATACACAACAGGCTTGAGGAAAATCTCCAAAACTAAAATTAAAAGTTAAGTTTTATACTCACATCACCTCCCATCATATTAAGGAAGTCATCAGCAAAACCCGCGTCCCCTGCTTCATCAGCTTCTATAAGATCTGTCGGAAACAATTAGATATATAATAATGAAATAAACCGTAACAAAGACTAGTAATAGCATATTATGCTCTTTTACATTATCTTTCATTATAGAGTGAGTCACAATTATAGTTTCCCCCGGTATCAAATTCAGAGCCTTCCGTGTATATAACGCAACAAGTTTATCATAGCTCAAACACGCTTAAAAAAATATCCTAAAAGTTTGTCGAGAGTGACCATAAAAACTAAAATATTGCGATTTATAAATAGGAATAAAAATATCTCGGAGATCTAAATTAAAATGTATACCGTTTATTCCTTCTGCACACTGGTGGCAGAAGTCTTGGGCGTGGTGGCTTGCGAGGTGCTAGTGGCGCTGGTAGCCTCCGAGGGTCCTGCGGACTGGGAGCCCTCCGACGCCGATCCTTCAGGAACCTCCTCCGCAGTCTTTTCTACTTCTTCATTTATAACAAACAATTACCTTTCAGCGAACTTATCATCTGCTTCACAATTTCCGGCCGCTTACAAAGCTTTACATACGCAACTATTGCCTATTTAATGAAAAACTGCGCATGATGACTAAATTCTTAGTTTGTTTGAACTTGTTACAATTGTTCTGTGACCACAAGTATCTGATTTATATACAATTATTCGCCAATAAAAACAATTGACACAATTTCAAACTCATGGCGTTACCTCGTGAGCAGGGCATGTCCATTTCGTTGAAATTGCATCGAATTGCTATAAGGCATGTACTTACCTTCGTCTTCGTCGAAGTCCATCATCAGCATACGGTCCTCGGACTCAGCCAGTATTTCGTCAATCCAAACCGCTATCTGAAGTATATATTTATAGACAAACCTTTTTAAGAAGAGAATAATAAAAGTCGTGCACAAATAACGTTACCATGTATATTCCTAACTTATTATTATTATTATATTTTATTTATCCAATTAAAAAAAAAATTATAACAAATTCAACTATTAAGCTACAATTAAACTTAATCAGTAGAGTCAAGCATTAAGATTTATAAAAGTTGCAAAAATGCAATGCCAGTAACGTACTCGAATATTATATGCAGATTAGTAATCAAAGATGTGTAGGAATTTTAACTCGCCGCAAAAGATTAAATGGCTGTTTGAAGTCTTTGGTAGGCTTATATATACATAAGGGAGTCAATGATTACCTTGTCTGCCATTTCCATCATGAATTTCGCTTTAGGGTGAGTTGCCCGGCGCGACGGAGGCCTCGTATGCATGTACGAGCACAAATCTTCCAAAATGATGTTCGATAGCCTTAACATTCTGTAAATATGCTCTATTGTTGAACGAACTATAAATTTAAAATTAAGCATTCTTTATTAATACTGCACTTAACACTATTCGATTCCTTTTAAGGACTTATAAAGGAGGGGATTATAACAATAATTGTATTATTTTTAGACTCACCCATCTGCAAGAGCATACGAGCCAGGTTTCGACAGCCGTTGCTGAATGCCCCTCGCGAACGCAACTGTGGCATTACGAGCCCAGACAAATCTCTTGTCACCGCATAACGCCAAAATATCTTTCTTAAATTGATTTATTTTTATCCTATAAACAGAGCAATGAATTAATTGAAGCACTACCTATTCAAATTTGTGTTATGATTTAATTTATACGCAAAACAAATTTAATTGAATTTAGTAATATTTCATTTGAAGCATTTTGCACTAACGTAGCACCCTTCTTCTTCGATTTCTTGAGATTTATAAAGTATTCGTAAGCTTGTTCCGGCTTGAAAGGCTGGTCCGCATCCAGCATTGTCCGTAATCGTGCAATCTGCGATACAGTTACAGCACATTGTATGTTTGTTATATACGTAATAATTATTTAAATATTTATATGAGAGATAGGGAAACTCCTATCCTCAGTGGGGTGCCTAGTACAAGTTTCCGACTGGTTGGTTGATAATTCTACAAATTCTATGCCAGGCAACGAACCCCCTCCCCAACTCAACGTACCTCAAAATCATAGTCCATGAAATGAAAATGGGGGTCCACGATAGTGGATCTCAACACATACACTGATAGTACCTATTTACTTACATCATACTATCTTATAATATCAAAACATACATTATATTGACTTATTGCTTATATAATTAATATTATTTATTGTTTATTTTATGTTTATTTAATGCTATGTATATTTTACTGTTATGTAAAATGTAAAATATGATACAAAATTTTATTTGGAGTAGTTTTAAGTTAAATTCAATTAATAAATTAACATTGTGTTTTTACTTTAAGTTTTTAACACTAAACTTAGAATTTACAGAAAATCAATATCAGGTAAGTAGGGGGTCTACCCAACACGGAAAACATGGCAAGCGGTCTACGACACAAAAAAGTTTGGGGAACTCATATATAGACACTAGACAGTTTTTCATTATAAGAAATTACGTTTAAAGAGTTTACACTGTATCTTTCTTAGTGTGTTTCGTTCAGATAAAACAACAAACATATGATGGATATTACCGTGTCGGCGGGAAGCGTACGTGCGTATTGTCGCCACAGGTAGATGACGCTGCGCAATGGCGGACGAGATATGCGCTCAAGACGGTCGGTGAGAACGGCGCCATGCCGCTTCAAGCACCGCGCATGGGCTCGTGCCGCGCGCTTTGAAAGCTTCACGTCTGTTGCTTTTGGACCTCTGCGAATATGACCATATTAGACCACCGCCGGGCAACATGTAACTTCTTTCGCGGTAATAGTTTATAATATATTTACATTATGATGAATGTTTAAAAAAAATAGCAAGGAGCCTAAATGGGAGGAAAAGAGTACATTGTGTATTTGAAATTAAATATATAGTTAACACAATAATTTTTGCCTTTACCTTGGTCGAGCAGGCTTCGGGGGCGGCCTTACAGTCTGTTTGGGGAGAGACTTGTGTTGCACTCGCAGATCGCGGCCCGCCATTATAGTATCGGCGACCGAAGGTGGTATGGTCTCCGTGGCGTAAGGAGGGTATGGAGGGAACCCTCCGGGGGTCGCTATAATTAAACGGCACAATATAAAATATCATTTTATCAATGACTAATCCAGTATTCTCTTCAGAACAAGAGCAACACAAATTCTCAGCAAGTTGAAATGTGATTTATGATCATTTCAAGAGGTTTTATCATATACTAGAAAATCAACGTTTACGTAAGGGTACCCTAGTATTTATTATAAGAGCGTTCGCGCTTTTACTTGTAGGTACTTAAGTTCTAGAATTGTGTATTCTGTACTTCTACTCAGTACTTCTCTTTTAATATCTCGAATATCGTACACGATTGTTCTCAGCGTAAGCGGGCCGAATCGTGGCCATTAAATTTACGAGCTATCAAGGCCCACATATTTACTAGCCTTGATGGCTGTCAGGTGTTGACCTGACAATTGAGATTCCATCCGACAAAAAATTCAGTAAATTCAGTCTTGAATGCGGTTCCGAGTGATAAAAGTGCCAATAATGAAGAAAAATTATTAATTACTGTAAGATTATTAAGTGCACGTTAATTGAAGTGACTAGTACTTTGTGCGCGTAGTTAGTGTATTTATAAGTGCTATTAAATTCCATTCATTTACTTAATAAACCCTTGAAATACTCTACGGCTATTCTATCCCCAAGCTCATATGGTATTAGTACTTATTATTGAAACGTTTTAACATAGCGTAACGGATAAGCCCCAATTTACTTTATTATTAAATTATTACATTATGTCCATGTCGTCATTAAACAACAGGCTATGTAATGTCAACGTTTCGCATTACCGGATATAATATAATAAAAGTTTTTTTGAATGTTATATAATACTGTTTCTCAAACACATTGTGATTTACAAACATACAAGGGTAATGGAGAACTAACCTTCTCCCGCCTCTGATACTGGCATTTCGCTGGTAGCATATTCTGTAGATGGAGCGCTTTCAGCCATTATTTAACCTAAATCAAAATCGCTTAGAAACAGTCCTTTTATTGTTGTAAGATAATGCGTTATGAAAAAATTCTAACAGAACGCCGTCTAGGCTTAAAAAGAACAATTGTGAATTCAAATTGACAGTTGTTGAGAAATTACCATCAGCCAGCAACAAATATTGAGACCTTTCAACGTTATATATATACTTCGAATAAGTAAAGCGTAATTTAAATAGTAAATTTGATATTAAGTAAAGCGTACCCGAACGATAAATTGCAATTGTCAATGTTAACGTTGTACGAAACGAACGTTTCGCTCAAATGATTTGAAGAGAAAAAAACATTTTACAGATGTACCTAGTATTTGTGTTCGTATGCATTCCAAACTTGGTAAGGCAACCTTTTTTTTCTATAGAACGGACAGGAGACTCACCTGATGTTAAGTGATACCGCCGCCCATGGACACTCAATGCCACAGGGCGCGCGAGTGCGTTGCCGGCCTTTTAAGAATTGGTACCTTCTTTCCTGAACCTGACCCTAAGTCGAGTTGGTTCGGAAATACTTCAGTGGGTAGAAGGTTCCACTTAGTGGTGGTGTGCGGCAAAAACTACTTTAAATAACGCTAAGTTGTCGATGTCATGATGCAACTCAGCTGCAGGTATCAATCTGAACAACTCCTCTGAACACTCTCCTTATAAATACGGTCGAAGATGCAGAGTGACCCCACATCTACGCAACGCCAAGTGATCTAGCTGCTCGGAAAGGGATTGGTCGTCGACGATTCGATCCGCTCTTCGTTGAATACGGTCAAGTGTAAGGATCGGAAGTATTGAAGCGCTCTCCCAGTAATTAGGGACTGTACCGAGCGAGTACAGGTACCTACTGAAAAAGGCACATTAGGACCGGAGCCAACCCAGGAGCACAAGTACGCAGCACCATTGGGGGGAGGCCTTCGGGGCCGCTCGACTTAAGAATGTCCAAGGAAGATAGAGTTTTGCGTTTTGCGACAGCACGTTACCAGAATATGATCTATCCGGCATCGTCTCCGTCCAATTTTTTATAATTTCTTCATAAACACACGTCCTAATCTCAATATAACCCCTAAATAAAACTCTTTGTATCCGAAATACTTATATAAATTATTAAATTAGAATTTAAATTAAAATATCAAATTTTATATGTTCTAAACTATTATATAACTATTTGGACACTTCGATACATAAAAGGTTTAACAAAAAGTAACTTTTTTAGAATCTTTTATCATGTCATAGTTTGAAGACTAAACATTCAATTTATCGGTTCCGTTGCGAGGTCATAGTATAGTAATAAAATCATAGAGGTATGCTCTGCTGAGAGAAAGCGAAGAGTTCTGGCCTAGGTTTAAATTGTGTTGCCTAGACATCTAATAGATCTAATAGAAACCGCGGAGTTTCCATGTCTAGACCCAAAAGTTAATTTTTTTTTTAATTATTCGAAAAAAAGTAAAAAATTGCCAATTTTCATCATACAGGTATGCTCTGCTGAGAGAAAGCGAAGAGCTCTGGCCTAGAATTTAATTGTGTTGCCTAGACATCTAATAGATCTTATAGAAACCGCAGAGTTCTTATGTCTAGACCCAAAAGTTAAATTTTTTTGTGCTCTGCTGGTAAATTAATTTCTATTTAAAAACCAGATTCTAGTCCAAGGAATAGGCCAAATTGAAATAACTCTTTTTTCAAAAACTCCTACAACAAACAGAGTCGTAAAATAAAAAAGGCTCGAATGGTCCAGAATTAATTTAAACATAATTTATTAGTAATCTGGGCGAATATTGATAAAACAGACACAAATAACCCGTATTTGTGTAACCATATATAGTATGTTGGTTGAGAGCGCAAAATTACTGAAGAATTGTTCAGCAAACATTTAAAAATTATTTAATTTCAGTATGTATTAAAAATCTTCATCTTTAAACCACAGATGTAGATAAGGATTAGGTGAGTCCATAGACTCAAGGGCTTCAGTTGGCAGTTGCACAGGCTACTGATAACCAATAAACTAAAACCTACGTAGTCTGTAAGTACGTACATCAAAGTGCGTTTTCCAATTACAGAGCATTATGCGACTCAGTGCCGCACAATGCCGCATAATGCTGAAGCTTAATTGGAACGTGAATTAGTTTTCAAATGCATCAGCAGAGTGCGCTAAGTCAGTGTTGTAAAAAAAATGTTATGAAATGAGTTAGCAACCTCATTAATGTATAAATAATGTGGTAAACAATAATAATTGGTTCAAAACTTTTTACGCTTATTTTAATCATCAAATTATTTCATTAACATTTTTTTATTGAAATAATAGAAAACCTTTAAAGAATATAAGGTTTTAAGAAGCTAAATTAACAGTAAAATATTTAGTTTCATGTAAGAAGTTTACATCATTTACGTTTTGAGTAATATTTTTTAATGATTTCTAAAAAAATTATATACTTTTTCAAAACCATTGCAATTTTTTCTAAACTATAATCCTGTAAAATAAATTTGTTTACAGATCCGAATTTTAAAATAAAATTGTATTCATATTTTAAATGTGGAATATAAAAAAAGTAACTATTTATACCTCCATCCATACTAATATTTTTTTTTTAGCAGTTTGAAATAACTTTAATTATTTTCAAAATCTACGATGAAACGAAAGCCTTACAAATTTTTCAACAATAAATAATATTTACTAACGAAAATTTCAATAAATGCCAACTTAAAGAAAAATACTGGTCAATTTTCTGTCACTGTGTTGGTATTGTTTGCGAGAAGCACGCGAGAGCATTCGTTTTGAGAGTGCTCAATTGTGCGAAGCGTTGCTGTAGTTGGAACACTCAACGTTGAGCATTATGCCGCAAAATGCGCTCTAGTGCTGTAATTGGAAAACGCACAAAATATATTCATATTATTAACTCCTTTTTTTTGGGAGTTTGTGGGCTGCCAGACCTACGATTTAAATCGTAATCCTACGATTTTTGTCGTTTTAACTCATGTACGATCGCTACATCAAGATCGTACAGAAAATGTACGATTTTTCTGTACTTGTCGACATTTTGTAATGAAACGAATATACTAATTTATTTGTGTGCATTGTTACAAAACTTATTATTTTTCTCTTGTAAAAACTTGTATTGGAAACCAAAGTCAAAAACCTGTTTTTCTCATCAGACTCGACCTCTAAGTGATTATATCCTCTTTTGATCTGCATATTGTCTTTAGTGTTCTTCTTCAATACGCTTAAGCAAGAATGGGTAGTGAAAATGAAGAAGAGCGACCTGCGCCAGGTACTCCAAAAAAATATTGCCAAAAGAGGAGAGCTTTCTGCAACATAGAGGAACAAACACAGAGCATAGAAGTATCGTCCGGATGGTGAATGATTTATTCAAGGACTGGTTAGGGCGCGGTAAAAACCAATTTAAAGCCAGGTGCACTGTTTGTGACGTCGAAATGGTTTCAGAATATGGAGTTTAAAAGTTACACTCTTCAAGGCAAATTCAGTCATTTTAAATAAAAACTTTCCACTTTTATGTTGTACGATCTTTTCATTTCAAAATTTCCTTGGTATACGATTTTTTTGTAGTAGGTAAACGTTTTTTTTCATCTGACAGCTCTGTCAGACAGCAGACAGCACCAGGGTTCACAACCGTACGATAATTATCGTACATGTGCGATAATTTCATAACCACGTACGATGTACGATGTTACACGACTATCGTACGCAGATTGTACGATAATTTCCATTCTGATAAAAAATTTGATGATTACACAGATAGCCCAATAACAATTACAATTTTTAGTGTCAGACGTCAGTGCCATGTATTGGCTTATTTTTCTATTAGGAACATATGCTGTCACAAGGCAACTACAGCGGATGAACAAAGCGTTAATGTACAAACACAAAAACGCATCAGAATGTACACTGCTCAGCCAAAAAATCCACGATTTGTATGGTGACGCAGATTCGAAAGTCTTCGATAGCATTTTAATACCTAACGAATTTTAAGTGATAAAAATAATATGCGATGTTTACGGACAATAGGTATATCACTTAGAGCGAACACCATATTGTTTAACGAGAAAATATTGCGTATTTTTGTTCCTCTTTGACGGAAGAGATTAAAAGTTGTATATAAAACGTCAAGTTTCATTAATATTTGCGTATTCTATTCTCGCAAATATATTCAGTTAAACTTTTAAAAATGTGCTTGTTTTCATGTATCTCTGTCCTTTAACATTATTTTGTTCTTTATAAATTTGAAATGTTGGCGCCTTAATCACACTCGAAGTGGACGAGGGCCCAGCTCGGGTCTGTGCTATTCGAAAATTTAAATTGAATTATTATTATTTTTTGAATTGAAAAACACAAGTTTACAAGATTTAAACTCTAAATCGTTTGCAACATTTTATTTTCACGTTTCATAAGTTTTTTTAAAGTATTTTTAGCCATTTTTCTGACTGTACGATAATTTATCGTATATGGATCACATATACGATAATTTTACGGCCCTGGTACGATAACTGCCTGGCTTCAGGTTGTGAACACTGGACAGCACAGCAGTGAGCAGTGAGCACAGCACACTTCAGTGTGACCAGATTTAGTAGATTTCTACTTTTTTGGTAGATTTTGAGGTACTGGCAACAGAATTTAGTATGTAAAAATTATTTGGTATATTTTAGTAGAATTCACGTTTATCAGTTATTCTAGTAGGTACTTTTTTGGCACATCGAATAAATGCGGGGTATTCCCCTTTCATCGATTGGGTGGTAAGTTCTATTGAATTTTCGTTATTTTCGTTACTATAAACCATTCGTTCCGTGACTCGTGAGCATATTGTGATTAGTGGGAATACCTTTACTGAGAATTTATATAATCGAGTATATAATGAAACGTAAATATACACAAATATATCGCGATGAATGGGAGCAAGATCCCTCATTTAAAAGTTGGTTGTCTAAATCTAGAGTAAACACTACGAGTGCTCATTGTAAAGCATGCAACTGTGAAGTACTAAGTAGAGTGGCATCTTTAAAGGAACATATGGCTACATCAAAGCATATAAAAACATGAAAGGATATTCCGGCATTTCTAAGGTACGTAAGGTACTTACATTGATATGTGGAATGTAAGTCTTAGTTAATTATTTTTGTTAAAAAAAATTTAATACTTTCATCGTGAACCCGTATTATGTTCTAAACCTTATGATTTCCATTCAAAAACAAACTTTCGCTGTTTTAAGTATGTTTATTATCTACACATTTACATAACAATTATTATTATACAACTATGTGTGTTTATGCATGTTTATTTATTTAAATGATATATTAAAACTAGCAGACTCGGCCAAGCGTTGCTGTGGCTAAGGTTTTTGTTATATTACATAGTAGTAAACTATTCAAGGGAAACGGTAGGAGAACGTATGTGAAAGGTAGCTTATGTGAAACGTTGATACTTTTAACACAGCGCCATCTGTTAGGGGTAGGAGAACTTATCTTAAAGGTAGATGAAAGCTTATGTGAAACGTTGATACTTATAACACAGCGCCATCTGTTAGAATTGTATCAAATAATAAACAAATATTTTGCAATAAAATAATATTGCGACTATAATTTGAGATTTAAACTACCTTTTAATTTGGATCAAACTACACACGGTGTGCAAATTTGATTGATATCGGTTCGGTAGTTTAGGAGTCCATTGAGGACAAACATTGTGATACGAGATTTATATATATTAAGATTGCTTAGTTTTTGACTTTTTTTTTTGTCCTGCATACTTATTTTTAACTTTTTTGTTTACAGATTGATACGATTTTTAAAACATCAACTATTTCGGAAGAAGTAAAAAAAGCAGAAATCAGCATTGTAGCTGCATTAGTGGAACATAATATTCCTTTTCGCGTAATGGATCACGTAAGCGAAGTTATTTCAAGGGCATTTCACGACTCTGAAATCGCAAAACGTTTTTCCTGTAGAAGAACTAAATCTGCCGCAATTGCTTACAACGTCTTAGGCAATAACTTCGAAGAAAAAATGCTTGCAGAATTACGTCCAAGGCTGGAAAATGAAACTGAGAGAAGCCCAGTATTTTCGCTCATTATCGACGAAAGCACAGATGTCAGTACTACCAAGGTACTTGCAGCAGCAATAAAGTACTACTCAGAAAAATTGCAATCTCCACAAACAAAATTTTTGTGTATGGTGGACTTAAAAGGTGAAACTGCGCAGTATTTGTTTGATAGTTTAACATGTGCCTTATCTGAAAGAAACCTTAACATAGAAAATTTAATAGGGTTCGCTGCTGATACAACGAATGTTATGTTTGGCGAAAGGAATAGCGTGGTATCTAAAATTAGGGAAGTCAACCCAAACTGTATTTTTTTTAAATGTATTTGCCACTCAACAAATCTTTCAGTAAGTTATGCATGCAAAAAATTACCTCGTTCTATAGAGTTGTTTGTCAAAGATGTTTATTCATACTTCTCTCACAGTAGCCAACGTCAAAGAGAGTTTGTCGAATTTCAAAATTTTACTGACACTCCAACTCACCATATGCTTCGTCACTATGATATCAGGTGGCTTTCTCTACATCAATGCATTCACCGAATTATAGAGCAGTGGTCAGCATTAAAACTTTTTTTTCAAAATGAGTTTTTAGGAAATAAGAATGCAAATGCTACTTGTCAATTTATATTTGATCACCTTAACAGCGATGAAACAAAACTTTATCTTTCCTTTTTAGATTTTATATTACCCATAACTACAAAATTTAACGTTATTTTTCAAAGTGATCAGACGCTCATTCATAAAATTGACACAGATATACAAAACATGATGAGTTCCATTTTGAGTTGTTTTATGAAGATAAATTATATTAAAACTACTTCGCTTCAGTCAATAGATCCCAGTTCAAGTATGCATTTCCTTCCTATACAAAACATGTACCTGGGCACAAACGTAGCCATAACATTGGAATTATTAAAAGATGATGTTCGAATGAAATCTAAAATTGAAGAGTTTCTTAACAGATGTCAAGCATTTTTGATCGAGCTAAGTAAACAATTTCTCCAAAGACTGCCTGTACAAGATAATTTCTTGCAGGATTTGTCGTTTATCGATCCCCAAAAGGCAGTGTATGGTGAATTTCGAACTCTAATAAAAATACTACAAAGGTTTCCTAACTTAGTTACAACAGAAAATATGCAAATTGTTGACAACGAATATAGGGAATTAAAATTAGATGTTTCCGTGTCTAATTTATTGTCAACTTCGAGTTCAACTTCTGAAAATTTTATGGTGGATAAATTTTGGAGTGAGGTCAGCCAAATTTGCGATGCGAATAGCAAACCAAAATATGGCAATTTGGCCCGGTTTGTGAAGCAAATGACAATACTACCTCTGTCTAACGCCAAAGTTGAAAGAATATTTTCCGATATTAATAGAATTAAAAGTCAAGATAGAAATCGTTTTAATAACAAGAATGTTGCTGCAATTATGCATGGAAAAGAGGGGCTACGACAGTTGGAAGGAGGATGTAGCAGATTTGATCCTGACAAAAGTATGATCAAGCTAATGGACTCAAAACAGCTTTATGACAATATCCAACATAACGACGAAAAATCTTAGCTTTAAGTTTCATTTTATTATTATTAATTTAAAAAAAATTGTAGTAAGAATTAAATTAAAAAAACTTCGCTTCTTTAATTAATCTTTACTACTTTTATTATTTTATCGTTTAATCAAGAAAATTCATGTTTTACGTTGTAAACCAACAGCAAAAAAATATAATAGATTTTTTGTATTTTCTCGTTCCTTTCGGTAGAATTCAGTAGTTTTTAACCTCCACGAGCAGTAGATTCGTCAAATGAAATCTGGTCACACAGCACACTTCGTGATCGTTTCTATAAATGACACATCGTAAACAAATGTGGTGAAACTAGAATTATCGACAAAATGCAAAAAAATGATGGTAAGCATACATTAATTATATTATTATTGTACATACTATATTAATATTGTTAGTATTTTATACATAATATATACAATTACCTTTTTTTTCAGTGTCTATGTCAATAGAAATTCCATACAAATTGTATAAAGCTGATGCTGGTGGATATAAGTTTAGTTTAAAACCAAATTTACAACTAGAAAACCATAATTTCCAACCTGCTCTTCATCTTATCGACAAACATTGTCCACATGACAAACTGTATGAGGTCAGTAAATTTTATTATAGTAATGAGTAATCTTAATCTGTCATAAACAGGAAAATAATTTAAAAACTGTATAATAATTATTTGGGAAATAACCTTAATATAATATGTTAATAAACTCTTTCCATATAATTGTAATAATATATTATAGATTAATACAACTATTTTCAGGTTCAATTTAATTATGATAAGCACACTGTTTATATTACAACAGGAGAAGGAATACTCACTAGCCTTCCACTTCCAGATGAGTTCTCAGATTTTAATGAGGTGGAGGTTTGGATGACATGGATCAAAAAAGACATATGTGTAGGATCAAAGAATAAGACATTTTTTACATACCCTAGGAACATCACTGGCGGGAAGTCAGCTGATAAATTTATTGGATATATAAAATTTGAAACTAATTATGGATTTGATTGGAAAGTCCATGGTATGTCATTTTTTATTCAGAAATACTTCTGTCTTCTACAGTATTGAAAACATTGGGTTTATTTTAGAATCTCCAGAAGTGTATAAAATGCCCCTAGAAAAAAATTTAAAAGGAGGGAAATTGCATTGGGTATCTATCGAAGATCACAAGTTACCACAAGATGCCATGATAGGTGGATTTGAGAAGAATCCAATATATATAGCTAGAGCTATGTATTCTGGGTCACTCTGTCCTGGAAAATATGTGCCTGAAGAAGGAAAAGCTTATGTAGCTTGGGGTGGAGAGGAACATGAAAAAAGCAATTTTCAGGTAATTTTTATTATTTTTTCTTATTAATATTTAGTGTAAAAGTAATTGTACTTATCAAAAAAAACTAACTAATTTCTAAATACTTATCTATGTAGAATTCATGATAATGTGTTACAGTCCTTTGATTACATTCGTTTCATTCTCCTAATAAATTATATTGTAATGCAATTAAGATGTTACAATGATATTATTTATCCATTATTTGTTTTAGATACTATGCGGATATAATGCTAAGTGGGTGTTATGTTCCGATGACAATATTCCAGAAAATGCATTTGTAGCTGGCACCTCAGAAATCCAAAATGAACCACTATATATAGGACGAGCTTTTATTGATTATAAGTTAATAGTAGGTAAAGTTCACATGCTGTATAAGACATGCTATTTACCATATCAAGGTGAAGAAATAGAAGTGCAAGATTATGAAATATTACTTGATTTAAGCATTAAACCAAAAGGTTATCCTTGTCGTGGGAAATGTAAAGTTAATGTCTTCAACAAAGACCTAACATGTATTTAAACAATTTATTCAATGAAAACACACACTGTAATATATTCACATAATTTTACTAGTTTTTTGTTAATACATAGTCACCTCCCCAGACAACATATGACAGCGCGAAGCGCGCCAAATTCAAATGAATGAAATGTAATTTCATTACTTATATATAATTTTTTTAAACATTTTTAACTATAAAGTCTACAAAACAGACAGTGCCTTTATATGAATTAAAGTCAAAGTCAAAGTCAAATCGTTTATTTCAATTAGACCATCTAAAATGGCACTTTTGAACGTCAAAAAAAAAAATATAAAGATGATTCTAGTTGCCCCTTCCAAAAGGTAGTTTCGTGTGGAGAAGAATGGGCAAGAAACTCCACACTTACTCTTTTAAAATAGGTTTACAATATTTTGTTACATTTGTTAAATAATTATATGTGAAGACAATGTACTCTTAGAATAAACTACTATACTAAAAAGTTAGTATACATGTTCCTCACATATTTACAAATATCGAAACCTTAGAATATTAACATTAAAGAGTAATAAAAATATTAAAAAAACACAACAAAACAGTGTGTGAGATACAAAAAAAATAATTACATTTGTAGCATTATATAAATTAAAAAAAATAATAATAATAATAATAATAACAAAAATTAACATATTTTTTTTTAGCAAAAAATCAGCAACCAATTTGATTTTGTCCAGGCTATAGAGCCAATCATAGGATTGTCCTATGGAGCAGGACCAGCATGTTTCCAAGCATTCTTATCTTGAATATAATCATCTAATTTGTAATATGCTTGTTTACAAAGTGTACTTTTAATAAAACATTTAAATTTTCGTTCATTTAGTTTTAAAATGTCACAAGGTATTTTATTGTAACATTTCACACAGTACCCCATAAATGAATTTTGAACTTTGGCTAATCTGAAAGATGGTTGAGCTATTTTATCTTTATTTCTAGTACTAAAATTATGTCTTTCATTTATTTTACTAAAAAGATGTAGATTCTTTCTTACATACATAATATTTTCATAAATGAATTGGCAAGGTACTGTCATAATATTAATCTTTTTAAATAGTTCCCTGAGAGATTCGCAACGACGTAGATTATAAATGGCTCTGACCGCTCTCTTTTGCAAAATAAAAATGGATTCTATGTCAGCAGCCCGACCCCACAGTAAAATGCCGTAAGACATTATGCTGTGAAAGTAGCTAAAATAGACCAAACGCGCAGTTTCTACATTGGTTAAATATCTTATCTTTCTAACCGCATAAACGGCTGAGCTCAGCCGCCCCGCAAGAGATGTGATATGAGGTCCCCATTGTAACTTCTCGTCTAGCGTGATGCCTAGGAAAACCGTTTGATTAATAAATTCCAGTTTTCCTTCATTCAACATTATGTCACATTCCTTACTTTTAACATTTGGCAACGTAAATCTAATACATTTAGTTTTTTTATCATTCAGTGCCAAATTGTTTTCCGTAAACCAATTTTGGACCCGATGAATAGAGTTATTCACGTCGTCACGATTTTGTGACCGTCGATCTACTTTAAAAATCAATGATGTGTCATCTGCAAATAACACCATCTTCGGTTTATTCTGAACTAATTGGGGTAAATCATTTATGTATACTAAAAAGAGGAATGGACCCAATATTGAACCCTGAGGAACGCCCATTGTAATTTCAGACCCTAACGAGTTTATGCCGTTAACCTGAACTTTAACCTGTCTGTTTTTCAAGTAAGATCTTAGTAAGTCCAGAGCTTTGTTCTTAATCCCGTAGTGATTAAGTTTCAGCAGAAGAGTCTCATGGTTTACGCAATCGAACGCCTTCGAAAGGTCGCAAAAGATTCCAATGGCATCTTGTGCTTCCTCCCAAGCGTTAAAAATGTTCTTGATTAGGGAGACACCGGCGTCAGTTGTACAACGCCCTTTGGTGAAACCGTACTGTTGTTCATGAAAGATGGAGTTTTTATTAAAGTGACATAACATTTGATTGAGCATTAACTTTTCAAAAACCTTACTGAGAGCTGGCAGAATTGACACAGGTCTATAATTATTGGGTTCTTTACTATCACCGGATTTGAACAACGGAACTACTTTACTGTGTTTCATGAGATCCGGAAAGACTCCTTGGTCTATGCTGGTGTTAAATATGAAAGCTAAATAAGGCGCAATAGTTTCGATGATAGAACTACAGACTTTTACAGACAATCCCCAAAGATCTTCTGTAGATTTAATTTTAAGATCTTTAAAAGCTTTCATAACAGCCTGGGGGTTTGTATATTGAAATCGAAACTCCGTAGGGCATGCCCTTACATTCTTCGTAAGTAACGCAAAAGAAAGTGCGGATGATGAACTTAAAGCTTCGGTAGTTTTAAAGGGAATATTGATAAAAAAGTTTTCAAATTCCTGAGCTATTTCTGCATTTGAGTTTATTGGGCCATGTGCAGTCTCTAAGTTAAATTCAGTATTACGCTGTTTTTTTCTACCAGTTTCATTATTTATTATTTGCCAGGTAGTTTTTATTTTGTCATCCGCTGATTTTATTTTATTACTAATATACAGTGATTTAGCAATTTTGCACACACTTTTAAAAGTTTTTGAATATTTCGCAACATGCTGATGAAAGTTTGTATTTTTTACATGTTGCCTTAGGCCATATAGTTCAAAAAAGTTTATCCCTGCTCTTACGAATACCTGGAGTCGCCCAATCACTAAATAAGAACTTGGTGTAAATACTTTTTTGTCTTTTGTGGAACAATGTCATTAAATTGCGATTTTAACAAGGTAAAAAACTCCGCATAGAACTCATTAGGGTCCCAAATATTATTAAAGTTTTGAACACACAATTTACTGGTCAAGGTATTATTTAATTTCTCTAAATTTTTACATGTAATTGGCCTATACCTTATTTGAATTTATATGAATTAAGATCTTACAGCATAATTATGCAATGAAAAGTAATCTTTAGGCCCTATCAGTGGAATGTCTATCTATTTACTTCATCCATTGCTGAACAGCCAAATAAATCTACTATTAAAAAGTGACTCTATGTAAACAATACATGTGCACTTGTGATTGTGGTATCATGTCAGACATCTTTTCTATTGTTTATACTTTATAGAATTCTAACATGCTGTCAGTCAAGATAAAAAGTACAAATTATTGTGAAGAGCCATGCAATTTCTATAGGAATGTTAATCATTATTGAATTTCCTTGCACTAAATAATTTGAGTATGTAAATTTCTTTGGAAAATTAATTGGATGAGGATGAATCATAGCAACAAATTTAATGATAATGTGATATTGAAAAAGATGTTTCCTGATTTTCTAATACATATGTGTGTCTTGACATTTTACTTATTATTTTACACTTACATATATTTCTTATGTAAATGATATTGTTCAAATATTGTTAGTGTGCCATATAAAGAAACTATTGTACATTTTTTTTATTACTAGTACCCATAGCTCATGTTCTATTTTTATAACCACAGTCCAGAATCATACACAAAGGGAAATAGTTAAGATTTAATAAATGCAAATTTTTTTTATTCATCGATTTTTCATGCTAAAAAACAATATTGCAGTCGGTCTTGACTGCAACATGCGGTCCGTCTATGGCCCGCTTTAGATATTTGGTAACTTCATTTGCCAGCATCGACCCCACAAACTATTCTCTTTCGAAGCTCTTCACACACGGGTTTGCCACGACCCATTGTTATTTGAAAACGAATGAAAAAAAAAACTGAAATTTTCAGAATTTATACTGTCTCACTTGACAAATAACACAGAATTACTTTTACAAATTTAAATCCTTGTTCTCCAAAATAATGGAATCCATTGTTAATTGCCAGCTCTTGAGGTATCTAGAGGGCCACCAGCTGATTAGCGATTATCAGTACGGCTTTCGTCGTGGTCGTTCGGCTGGTGACCTTCTTGTATACCTTACACATAGATGGGCAGAGGCAATTGAGTCCAAGGGGGAGGCGCTAGCGGTTAGTTTGGACATAGCGAAAGCCTTCGATCGGGTGTGGCACAGAGCACTGCTCTCGAAGCTTCCAGCCTATGGGCTTCCCGAGAAATTACGCGATTGGATCTCCAGCTTTCTGGCCGATCGGAGCATCAAGGTCGTCATCGACGGAGCATGTTCCGACCTAAAACCCGTAAACGCTGGGGTCCCACAAGGCTGTGTTCTATCCCCAACCCTATTTCTTCTGCATATCAATGATATGTTGAAACTTAGCAACATTCATTGCTATGCGGATGACAGCACTGGGGATACTTTTTACACTGGCCGGGCAGGTATTTCTCGGGCAGTTGTTGATGAGTACCGGAACAAACTTGTGTCTGAAGTCGAAACTCTACTACGGGGAGTCTCAGATTGGGGCAGACAAAACCTAGTCCAATTTAACCCCAAGAAGACACAAGTTTGCGCGTTTTCCGCTAAAAAAAATACCCTTTGTCGCTACTCCTCTTTTCGAAAACACTCTTCTTAAAGCCACAGCCAGCATTGGAATACTTGGCGTTGACATATCGAGCGACGTTCAGTTTCGCGGTCACTTGGTGGGAAAGGCTAAATTAGCCTCTAAAAAGCTTGGTGTGCTCAGCAAGGCGAGACGGTACTTCACTCCGGGCCACCGCATGCAACTATATAAAGCGCAAATTCGGCCCCACATGGAGTACTGCTCTCACCTCTGGGCGGGGGCTCCCCAGTACCAGCTCCTTCCACTTGACCGTATACAACGCAGAGCGGTTCGAATCGTCGACGACCAATCCCTCTCCGAGCGGCTTGATCCTTTGGCGTTGCGTAGAGATGTGGGGTCACTCTGCATCTTCTACCGCATTTACCATGGAGAGTGTTCAGAGGAGTTGTTCGGATTAATACCTGCAGCTGAGTTTCATCATCGGACGTCGAGGCAGAATACGAAATTCCACCCGTATCACCTCGACGTCCGCCGTTCCACAACTGAGCGTTTTTCAAGGCAGTTTTTGCCGCGCACCACCACTATGTGAAACCAGCTGCCCACTGAAGTATTCCCGAACCAATTCGACTTAGGGTCCTTCAAGAAAAGAGCGTACCAATTCTTAAAAGGCCGGCAACGCACTCGCGAGCCCTCTGGCATTGAGAGTGTCCATGGGCGGCGGTATCACTTAACATCAGGTGAGCCTCCTGCCCGTTTGCCCCCCGTTCTATAAAAAAAAAAAACTTTTGAAAATGATAGATTGTTTTTTTATCAATACCAAACTTAAGTGATTTCATTTTGGACTAAAGCCCAGAAAATAATGTATGGTATCTATGTACACTTGTACAAAGACAAGGACAGCAGATCATGAAATAAAAGACTTAATTATAATATTTTTTTATTTTATCTAGGTCTTCTGTGTTAGTCATAATCATATTCATCATCATCAGATTTGTATTGTTCCTCATAAAACTCATATCTTTCTTTAAATGGTGGTTCAAGAGTATTACTACACCTAGGACTTGAGTATGGACCAACTAATATATCATAATAACTTTCATATGCTTCCCGTTCGCCATAGGCAAAGTAACAAACACAATGTGTTGGTGCCACTTTACCTGGTATTAAATGGCCATCCTGTTTTACACGACCAATATACATTGTTTCTGGGCCATATTCAGTGTACCCTGCAGCAATGGCTCCAGCTGGTATTACCGATTCTTTTGTTGGTACCCAGACACAATCATGGGCACAGAGAATCTAAACATAGAAAATTACTATTATATTCCTTGTTTAGCAAAATAACAATTTATAATTTTATGAAAAATATAATTTACCTCAAACTCTGTTTTTAAATGTGAATGTCCTCCCCAGCCTACAAATCCACATTTCATAGATGGTACAAACTTTCCAGGAGTTAATGATCCTACATGTGGTGCTCTCATTATATATAGAAATTCATTCTCAAACCCTCCTATTATTGCACCATAAGGCAATGCACCATCATATGGCACCCAATATGGTTTTCCTCCTATAATTGGTTTTAAAAAAGGCCTCTCGATATTCGGTGGTACTGCAAAATAAATTTGCTAAATGAAATTGATTAAAAAATATTTTTTATATTGGGTTCAGCAACCAAAAACAAAACAATATATTTTAAGAAACATACACAATAACTTCCACTGTAAAGTATTCCTTTGGTTTCGGCCAAAAAATGTGACAAACTTTAAATTATTTTTTTTAATTTCTTTGGAAAATATAGGTTCAAATTCCCCAAATTTGTTTAACTCAACTTTACTGCCATACCAAGTAAGGCAAAACTTATGATATTTTTCCTCCTCCAAGATGCCAGGTGTTGGTGTTTTAACAATTATTTCATTAAATTCACAGACTCCACTCTCACCATGTCTATCTATAAAAACCTACAAAGGAAAAATAATATTGTATATTATACTTAAAATAATATAATGTAAATTATACTAAAAATCTAATCATTTTTTTATAGCTTAGTTTATTAGTGGTATTTGCATTAGGTACTTTATTTAGTTGCACATGCCTGATGTGTACATTACAATACATATATATTTTCTACCTAAACTAACCAATTAAAATTAAGATTTTATTTCATGGCAAGTAGAAAGTAGTGTATTTTTAATTGTAGGTCAGCTTCAGAATCAACCTTACTTATTATAATTTACACACAACTTAATAAAAAATAAACTTTTAATCATCCACAATCAATAAAAGTATAATTTTATTAAAAGGACAGCCACTTTCTACTAATTTCTTGTATGTATCTGAAGTATTATATTATGTCTATGCTATTAATAATAATCATTGAATATGAAATATATATAAAGAACAGGAATAATAAGCTTATCACTACTTATAAGGAAAACTTTAGAAATAAACAAATAACTATTTCACAATAATTACCCAATGATCAATATTAAAGAATCCAATTTGATCAGCTAACCCAATCATAGCATATCCAGAATTTCCTTTAATAGAAAATATAACACACTTACTAGTAAATTTATAAAATCTCCTTTGATGGTTTCGTGTTGTAGATATTTCTAAAAGAAAATATATTTTTGTTAAATAACCTTAAACATATTTATTAAACAATATTTTCATATTATATTGTATTTATTATAATATTATGTAGGTACTTACCAATAATTTCACCCATTTTTACCAATTATACTAATAAGTTATTACTTAAGACTGTTTGAATATTATAAAAGCATTAAGTATATGTTATAATTGTTATAATTATATATGTTATAATTTATTGAAACATTGCGTTCGTAATAACAACTAAATTTTTTTATATTAAAAGAATTACTATTAATAAAGCTTTTTTAATTAGTATCTATATAGAGTGTAGACAATCGTACCAATAACCAAGGTACAATCAATCCCAACATGTCACCAAGTGACTAATCAGGTACTCAGTAGTCACTAGTCACTAGTGACTAGTCACTACTCTCAATTCAGAAGTATAGGGATGTGTACCAGTTACGACAGTTCTAAATACATATACCTATATTTAGTTAAGAGTAAATAATCATACCGAGCGTACCGAATACCGATTCACATTACACATCAGGTACTCAGTACATTCCTTTATTATTTAAGGGAGTCCCACTACGTTGTATATATAAATGTGTTTTTGAAGTGAAACTTCTTTAGGCGCATGAGGGTAAAAATTTTACGGATGAAACGCAATAATAATAATATTAGCGTCACGAAAATGTGCAGCATAGTGTCGAAGAAAAGGGAGAGAGCGATTGAGACTGATTGTGAGAGAGTGAGATAGGCAGTGTGACCGTTTTAAAAAATGGCGATCTATCAAAACTACAAGGTGCCAGTACTAAATAATACCAAAACACATGCTGAATTATACTAAAAGAAAAAGAGGATTTTTTTTATTACAACACTTATTATCAGTTACTTTTTAATTTTACCAATTTAACACACCTTCATAATACAGACATATTAAAATAATAATAAATATTAACAATAAGTTTTATTACAAATACTAAGTCAGTATTCGCTGCACTGAGCTAACTGAGCAGATTTAGTGCGTTTGCAGGAAAAGCCCTTTGCGATTTCCGAATCATAAAACATTTTGCTGAATAAATCGCTGAGATGATCCATGGCCCGAGATGGTATGTTATGTTCTGCCAACGCTGCATAAAATATAAGCTCTGCTTTTCTTACTTCTTCAGATATGGGTTCTTTCCTTTGAAGTAATTTATCATCGTTCTGAAAATAAACAGGATTTGATTAATTTTCGTATCGTAAAAAATAAGTAAAATACCTTTTTTTTATTTTAAAAGACGTGTCTCATTTATGAAAATTCAGCTTGAAATCGCTTGAGAATCAATTATACTGTATGTGTGAACAACTGTACATGTACTATCAAGATTCATCGGACAGCCTGTGGAAGTAGGACAATTAATTCATGTGCCATAAAAAATAAGGGACACGATAATCTTATAAATATGATAATGGGGGCTTATCTTTCTTACCTTGGTTTGTCCACTTTAATTTATAAATTTCTGCCGATGTTTTTCAGAATATGCATGACTTTTAATTGTAGCGATTCTGCTTAAAAATGTTGCTCCACAAGTTTTACACAAGGCGTTCTCATTATTTTTATCTTTTGTCAACCATGACGAAAATTCAGGATTTTGTTCCCACTCAGATCTATATTTCTGATCGTATTTGCGCTTCATTATCTTCACTACACATGCACACAGAGAAATAAATAAAAAACTAAAACATCCGTGGTCTTTTTTAAACAGCATGTAACGTAGATAGTAATACGTAGCTAAAGCACGATTCGCGAATTTGTTAGCATTAACCGATCGAAAGAGACAAAATGATACAGTTGCGGTAAACATCAGAAAAAGACAAAAACATGTGAACGAAATACGAACGAATGGAAGTGAGTGTTTCCCGCCCAGCCCAAAAATATATCAAAATGTGTTTTAAAATGTTGAAAGTTTAAATGTACCAAAAAATACCAGAATATAAAAGGAAACCAAAAAAATACTAAATTAGTTTCACGGAGCCCAAATTATACCAATTTGGTACTGAATATACTAGAAACGGTCACACTAGAGATAGGGTGAACGTACCATGAAGCAAATAGCCATGGAGCGAGAGTAGGGAGCAAGCAAGTGAGAAAGATCGAGAGAGAGAGTGTGATAGAGCGAACGTCGCATCACGCACAGTGCCGTGGAGCGAGAGGTGGGAGAGAGCTATAGTGAGAAAGATTGAGAGAGAGAGTAAGGGAGATCGAGAAAAAATGCACGCTATTGGTTGATGAATTCGTTTAGTAGTTACATATTAGAACTTTAGATGGCAATTAATTCTGTCGCGTAACGTCTTGTGCAGTAAACGCAGATTTTTTATTGATTTATATTTTCTTTAGCACGTATACAATGTGTAAACAGTGTGAATATAGATATAAAAATACATGGAGTGATTATATACTGGTACATGATCATCTATTGGGGCTTTTACCTTAGTAGTAATTTATTTACAAAGAGTTTTCACTTCTGACATGTGTACTTTATACGCACGCACTTTTTATTTATTAATATAACTAGCCGTTTCGCGCCCGCTTTGCTGGACGAATTAAAATAAATTTTATGTTTCATTATTTTATTTTTTTTCATATTTTTATTATTCTTCTTTTTAACTTCCCGCTAAGAAAATTGAAATATTTCGAAAATCGAGTTTTTAACAGATGTTGACGTTTAGAGGTTCTAGGTAGCCTCCCCGAATGTTTCCGCGGTGAAGTCCGTATGGATAAATTTTCATAAAAGTAAAACAGCAATAAAAAACGTTGGAATTGAATAAATAAATAGCCATAAACCATCTAGGAAAAATTTCGCATCGAATGGTGGTAGTTTCATGTCGATACGATCAGTGGTTTAGGCGTGAAGGAGCCTCAAACGAAGACCATTTTTATTTATTAATATAATGACCATGACTTAACTAACATAATAAAATCTATAATACCCGAATGACAAGTAAGAAATTTATTTTAGTAATTGAAAAATGTACCTACGTATTTTTGGAGTTTAAGAAACGATTTGAGTTATAAGGCCCGGTACGGAAATTTTATGAGGAGTAAAATCAAGTGTAACACGAAAAGTTGAGGCGTTACGTAGAAAGAGACAAACATATATATCTGTAGGATTGAACGTGTAAAAGAATGAGATGGAATACATTACACAGTCTTTTCTATTATTAAAAAAATAGTTTAGTATCAAGTATTTGATTTTCATCATTTTAACATGTGTGATTTTTGAGAGCATGAATAAAATAAAAAAAAGTGTGTGCGTGTAACCTTTACGCGCGATTGAAGTAAAACTTCTTTGGCGTTGACGGCATATTATATCACTGAAATGATTAAATATTAACTTAAATAATAAAAATCATATTATAATTAAATTATATTTATTATTCATGTGCTTTACAAAGATTATTCAAATGCGAAGGTTAGATCAGCACATGTCACTATAACCTAGTTATTGAATATTATAATTTATAGAATGTCGCAATCGTCAGAAAATTTATTAATAATTTACTTATTTTAAAAGTAATAAATCAATAAGTATATTTAAAGATTTTCAAAAAACTAACTAAACTTAAATTGTTGATTTTTTTTTAATTTACTTTGCTATTCTCTTAACTACACAGACTATAGTATACGTTACTTTCGTCAGAAAAAAAGGGTGCGTGTACTTATGTATGCGCGTAAGGGGGCGTCCATAAATTACGTGAGGTGTTTTTTTTAATTTTCTGTACCTCCCTCCCCCCCTGGAGAGATGTCGTGAGATTTTATTCAACCTCCTCCCCATCCGCCAATCTCACGTGAGATTTTTCAAAATGTGGGTTTCTTACGTTAACGCGTTGGATTGTTATTGTAAAAAGAAAAAAAAATTGCTTCGTGCTTTTATTTACGACTAAAACAAAATAAGTGAAATGTTGAGCGTTTAGGTATGGAGTTAGCGGGAAGTTGCAGATATGACCTTTAGAGTCAACCGTTTTTCTAAGTTTTTTTTTAATAAAAAAAAATTGCGTGATATTTGCCGAGACCCCCCTCTCTCCAACGTAAGATTAAATGAGATTTGACTCGACCCCTCCCCCTTAAACACCTCACGTAATTTATGTATGCGCGTAAGAAGGTATACTTCTTTGGCATTATTAAAAAATAGTTTTTGATTGCATGCAAATAATTAATTACAATTAAATAATCAATGACTGGAAAAGGAGTCATTATAGTCAATAAAGTTCAGTTTACATTTGAAAAATTAAATAAATAAATATTTATTATTATTCTCTTACATTAAGTGTAACAAATTCTATTATTATTCGAATTATGTTTTTAAATTATGTCCAATGCCATAGCATCTTCCGTGGGCAACTTTATTCTGTTAATTTTGTGTCACGGTGCGCGCGCATCGTAAAATTTCACTCTCATAAATTTTTCATAACGCGCCTAAAGAAGTATAACTTCAAAAAGTAGCTATATAAATTATTCTCCATACTAATTACAAACGTTTTCAATTTGCAGAATTTATTGAAATATACATATTTTATATATATCTTAGCATATATTTGCACTCGTTAATTCAAATATTTAGTTTTTTCTTAAATTATATAGATTATTTACAAGTAGAGATATATAGAGAAGAGATATATGCGCCACAAGCAAAAACACCTCTCTATCGCTTGTATCACGCTCTCGCTTGCACGCTCGGCTCAGTCGGAACGTGACAATGAGTCATGTTTTTTCATGCGTTCGGCGGCGTTCGTCGATTTATAAGACGTTAACGCGTTATAACATATCTTTTTTTATTTAAAATTATGGCAATAGTTTTGACTTTAACATATCTTTCTATGATACTCATTACTCACCTAGTCTAACGAAATATTCTTTTTGAACATCACTTCAACAAACTCTGCAAACCGCATCATGTGACAGTGAGTAGTATCTGTGGTGAGTGAGAGAACCATAAAAGTTGTCGAGTGACGAGTGTTGTTCTTGTTTGTCAGATTACTCATTGGCGTTTTTTGGTCAATCCAGTTATCCAGGTTTTGTAATTAATTGTATACTACTGACATAGGACTTGCTGAGTAGTGAGTACCTACTTTGTGTGGACACTGTACGAACCCTTTGACTGTTCCTTAATATTTTGATAGCCTAAAGGCTGATTTACACGTATTAAGTTGCCAAGTCTTAACTAAATTTTAACTAAATTTCAAGTGACTTAATTTTAAGTAACCGTTTACACGTAAAAATACTAAATAATTAGTTAAACACATTTATTCGCTCAAGATGGACGACCACAGAACAAAATATTATAGGATTTTCTCTTCCTGATTGGGGGATTTACTGTATTGTATGCTCCAATACATGATTGTGAAGGTTCTGGGGACTCAACGTAATACGTATTTGAAGAAGGCGAAGGAGTAAAACGGCTACTATTATTCATTGGGGAAGGGGTTCTACTACTGTTCATTAATTGTTGTATACGCATATCGGACAAATAGTTTTGGATATGTTTTTGAGCTTCCAGCGCCGAAAGCAAAAGCATAGCTTTGCAATGACTCCGCCAGCTTATGCTTTTTACTTAAATTTAACTAAATTTTGCCTGTCCAAACGTGTCAAGTGATTAGCCACGCCCACCAACTTAACCGAAAAATAGACAAAATTCTATTCTACCTTGTTTAGTTGCAACTAAATTTTAACTTGCAACTTCTTACTAAATTAACTGTTTACACGGGTTAAGTTACTTAAAATTAAGTTAATATTTAGTTAATTTTTAGTCAACTTAATACGTGTAAATCGGCCTAAGCCTATAGGTACAACCCTCGTATGGCCTATTATTATGACTACTTAGTTCGGTTCACATCCGCATCATACTTTCCGTAATATTTAGAATAATCAAGGTTGAAGAATGTGTGATACCATTGGTAAATAAAAATATTTATTTATAACACAAAAACTAAACCCATTTTTTAAATTTGGCTTCAATTGATCAATTCCAGAAGTTACAACGTTACCAGTTCATAAAAGTATTTCATATAAAATATCGGGAAATGGTCTAGTCTTTTATGTAAAGAGTGGAGGAAGAGGTGGTGCAGTAGTTGGTTTATCAAAATGGCCTAACAGTCTATGCAATTATTGGGTAATTGCTATATTTTTGTTTTTATCACTCATCAATGTATATTATATACGGATTTTATTATTTGTAGGTGTACATTGCACACAATAGCTATACAAACATAAAGAGTGCACATGAGAGTGAATTTAATTTACATGGAGAATATACACCAGAACTTTTGTCTGATAGACACTACACAAAATTTTGGCTGACTTGGAACAGTGATGTCATCAGCTTGGGAAAGGATAGTAACACAAAACCAATCATAAGCCGAAATAATTGTAATGTTAAGAAAATATCATATGTTACATTATCAAGTTGTGAAAACAGAGTATACTGGAAACTTTTATGTAAGTATGTTTATATTTGTAAGTACATCTTGGTTTGACAATTTAATCTTACAATTCTTAAAATGTATTAAACTTTTTCAACACAGTCTTTGTACCATTTTTCTCTCTAAAAATATTTTTTAATACTTCAATATGAATGTTGAATAAAGTACCGTGTTTGTAACTATGGTAACACACATCTTTAGTTTATGTTTCAAAATAACTATGAACTTCCTTAATTTATTTGGTATTTTTCTGCAGTTAAAAATGTTTCTGATTTCAGTACCACCAGTATTGCCAGTACCACATAAACGGTTGCTAAATGTTGGTAAGCCACAGTGGGTGACTGCAAATGACCAATTACCAGATGGGTCACTTATAGGAGGATATGAAAATGAAATTCTTTATATAATAAGGTCTCCACATAGAGGATCTCTCACTCCTGGAAAATTTGTCCCCTCTCTTGGTGTCGGGTTCATATCATGGGGAGGTGAGGCTCTTGAAAAGAATGACTTAGAGGTAATTCAAAGTATATATTCAGGTCAATGATTTTCAAGTCATAATTATGCTACTTATAAATGTAAAGCAACAAGGGTTACACCACAAACAAATAAAGTTATCGAGATGAGGTTCTTCCAGGTGATATAATTTATGAGCCACAGAAAGTAGTAAAACACTATTTACTGGTAACAATTTAGTTTTTTAAAATGTGTATCCTAATAAGAAATGTTTGACTTAATTATAATCCGTAAACACTTTACACTGAACCATTTTACAAAAACTTGCATTAGTTTCTATTGAATGAAATTATTAACTTATTAAGCCTATTTGGTTCAACTTACAGGTTTTATGTGGAGTTGATTGTGAATGGATGGCAACCAACAATGACAGGATACCAGTCAAAGCTGTAGAGGCCGGTTTCTCAGAGGGCTATGACACAGAGTTACTTTATGTAGGTAGGGCCAAGCACTTAGGACACATCATTCCAGGCAAAGTACAGCCATCACATAAAGTCTGCTACATCCCATATGATGGCCGAGAGATTGCAAAGATGGAATATGAGATTCTTGTCTGTCAATCAGTAAATGAACACGCTGCTAACAAAATATTTTTAACATTAGATCATGGGGCCGTGCTGGTTTTTGAGTCAGATGACAGTATAAGTGAAGATGATTAAAAATAAAGTTATAAAAATAATAGGTATTAATTTTTTTATTCCCTATATTTTTAAAGATATTCACTGCGGAAAATGATACTTACGAAAAAAATTTTATTCATTAGTCAAGGGCAAAGGGTGATGCCTTATTTACTTTGAATTTGGCGGATAGATCCTATCCCTTACAATAAAACGAATTCCATAATAGCAACACCAGTGAAACGAAAATATTCTTTTAAATACTGAGTTAAATGCTTTTCGCTCTCAGCTAAATGTCACCGTTGCGGCGTGCGCTGCGCTGTATGGTTGGGGCTTAAGGGTTTGGAGCTCGTAGTTTGTAGAATAAGATTTAATCATTTTAGTCTCTTGTGTATAAGCGCACGTTAAAAGAAAGCTGCTTGCTAAAGCCTACTATAACGTAAATGATAATTAAAATGTCTTTACCTATAGGTATGAAAGATTTAAAATATAAAATCTTTGGTAATTTTTTTTATTTGCCAAAAACAAAAAACTTGCTAAAAACAAATGACTGAATTTAAAAATAAATTAACACGACTTTCGAATAACATTTGAGTACCTATCGAATTGCACGCCAAACCGAATATATAAAATCTGCAAATGCTGTCTTATCTCAAATAACTAATATATAGTGGAAGCAAACGGGAATATACTCGTATATAATTTATCACAGCAATTGGTCTCACCACACTATCTTTTTTTGGTTAAACCTACGAGGTTTACCCTATATAAAATAGGGCCAACAGTTGCAAAATTAAATTTTTTTTTTTTAATTGCTTCGAATGCTTTTCTCTAACGTCACACGTTAAATCTTTTAGATGCTCCGGTGACAGCTACACCGCACAGCTGAACTTGGCTTAAAAGAATTATGCATTTTGGACGTTTTCAAATTACGTTATTCGCCAGAATTACAAATGGATTTAGACTCATGAATCTTATACAATTCTTTTTAAATTGTGTAAGCGATATATTATCTTTCTTCTGGACATGCAGGATCAGTTAGTAATTCTTCCCATGATTTCTATGATGTAAAGCGAAAAAAGAAATTATATGTATGATTCCAATGACGAAGCTATGGAGGACCCGGGTACCCCATGGTATTACAATGAATACCAAAACGTAATGTTTAAAATAAGAACATAAATAAACCTCTGCACAAGTAGAAGTTAAAAAAAAATGCAAAAATTTAATAAATATAATAATATGTATTAACATTTTACTAATGATTGTCTTCCTGGAGGTGTTTGTGCATCCTGGCCAAGTCAAATGGTTATATAAAGTCGATGCTTAATAAATTGCAAAGGTAGCTAGTTTTGATAGTGAAGCAGAGAATGAATGAATTTTAATATAAATGTTTTATATGCGATAACACAATTAATCAGGATTGAATATTCTATTCACTAGTAAACTCGACATATCGCACCTTCAGAATAGTAGTGACTTAACTCAAAAATCTAAGAAATTGAGTTACGGTCATAGAGGGTCACTAAAAGGTACGCACTTTTAGGTGAATAATAAAGAAGCGGCGTTTTTATGTTAGAATAAAGATTAAGATACTTCGGTCTCTTTCGCACTCCGTCCCTCTACCCGCGCCGCTCGGATCGGTAGCGACGCAATCAGTGATGCATCGAAACTAAAGTGAACAAGTCGTCGCAAGTTTATTAGTGAACTGACCTAAAACGTAATAAGTCACTTGTGTACTGAACAAACGGGTAAGTAAACTTCTCAATCTTCAGTATAAGAGAGACTCTTTTTTATATTAGGTCTTTTTATTACCGATTTTGATTTTTACATATAGGACTAATTGTAATTAGGTCCCTTTAATACTTAAAACTAAGAATAGTGACAAGCATTAAACAGAATTGAGCCCCTTTTAAAATAAAACCAAGGACTTCAATACATTTTACATCAAAATGTGTCATTACTACACTAATTTGCCGACAAATAAATGAGCTATTTTATTAAATGAGTCCTTATAATTATATAATATGGGAGTTTTTACTTTCCTTAATAAGATTTAGGACTATGTATTTCCTAAATACCAATTACTTAAACTATATTAGTAGACCTGTTTGTTTCAGATAAGAATAAAAATGAAGAGAAGAGCAGACTTAATATTTGAGAAATTACAAATAAATAAGCAAAAAGAGGTTAATTCTTTATGTTTACATTACACTAATTGCATTTAGTGGTTTTTCTAACAGTTATCGTAATTATCTTAGACGTTTTCAGGTGGACGTAGTACCATGCAATTACAAAAATGTAAGTTGGCCCTTGGACCAAATGCGGAAATCTAGTGACGCGGTTTGTAATTGTATATACCTATTCCTTGTTTCGATTTATTAGATATTGTTTTTACGGAAATGCATCACAGTAAGTAGGATATGAAATGTTTATGTTTTTGTGCTTATCGTTACAGGATGAAATTAATAAAGAGAACATTCCTCATTCTATTGAGCAAAGAAAACGAAAGTTGACTCAGGTAACTAAATGTTAATGTATTTTCCTATTTTTTATTTTTCCCATAATTTTCTTATTAGTTTTATAACTAAGTAGGTACGGTAAGTAGGTATACCCAGCTTTAAGAAGGTTAATAGTGGTTATGATGTTTACAGAATGAGTATGAAAGCGATACCTCTCGGCCATCTAGTCCATCATTAATAGAAGGCACACCTGAAAAAATAGTGCTGTTACCAAATCATGCACACGAACTTTGCGATGGCAAAAGGAACATACCTAGGGTTGGTCCCTCATTACGTAAATCATTATTTAATACCATGAAATAAATTGCATACTCACTTATTTAATAATCTATGCTTTCAGGTTAATACTGAACAATGCCATTCTCAGCCAATAGAAGCTACACATAAAATCATTGTAACGGTAAATAAATTAATGTTTTTTTTATTAAATAAGTGTACGTAGTATACTTAAGACATTAGAGTCACACATGATGTAGACACATGAGATTACACATAACTGAGATCGTGTCGATAACATAAATGAGATCGATAGAAATCTATTATTTAAAAAATATTGGGCACTAGGAAACGTAGAATTACAGAGATCTTTTGTTAGAAATTGCATGATAGAAGTAAAACCAAAATATAAATACACAAATGCAGCTAGACCAAGACAGCCTAATAATGCATTTTATTTTACAGTTAATGATACTAAAATTAGAGTTTGCAAAACTTTTTTTATAAACACGTTAGGTATATGTGACAGGCAAATAAGAACTGTTAAAAAGAAGACAGATGCGCAAGGTTTCATAGAGAAAGATAACCGAGGTAAAAACAAGAATAGAACAAGGATAGAACCAGCAATCCTACAAGATATAAAGAACCACATTAATTGGATACCAAGGATTGAATCGCATTATTTAAGGTCTTCAACTTCTCGCGAATATATAGGTGGAGAGAAAACAATAATGGATCTTTGGAGAGATTTTGATAAAGATCAACGCGACGCAGGAAAAGCTACATGTGAATATTGGTTATATTATGACATTTTCACAAAAGAGTTTAATATTGGATTTTTCCAACCCAAGAAAGACAGATGCGACCTATGTTTTGAATATGAACTAGTTTCTCCAGAAAAAAAACTACAACTAAAAGAAAAATATGATTGTCATTTAAAAGAAAAAGATTTATCCCGAAAAGAGAAACATAATGATCGACTCAACATTGATGAAACCCATATTTGTGCAGTGTTCGACCTGCAAGCAGTAATGCAATGTCCTAGCGGTGATTCGTCTTCATTCTATTACAAAACAAAACTGAATTGCCTCAACTTTACAATCGTGGAATTACTAAAGAAAAGAGACAACAATTTGGAGGAAAATACAGAAAGTGTACACAAACGTGATATTGGAGCTTATGGAGACGTCTACAGTTTTTTCTGGGACGAAACTCAGGGGAAACGCGGATCTAGCGAGATCGGATCGTGTGTTCTTAATTATTTGGAGATTTTAAATGCAAGACATCAGGGTCAGGCCATTCACGTTACGTTTTATTCCGACAATTGCTGCGGACAAAACAAAAATAAATATGTAGCTTGCTTATATTCCTACGCAGTATCACATTTTGTGAACATCCAGTCTATAACCCAAAAGTACCTAATAAAGGGTCATACCCAAAATGAAGGGGACAACGTCCACAGCCTCATTGAAAAGGAAATCCAACGGAATAAAAAGGCTGGACCCATATACGCACCTTGTCAATACGTCACTTTAATAAAAAATTCGCGAAAAAACGGAAAACCGTTGATTGTTCAAGAATTAACGTATGATTTTTTTTGGGACTTAAAGATGTTTCAAGAGAAATGGGCTTATAACTTTAGTGAAAATGAAAATAAAGCCAATGTGACTTGGAATGATGTAAAAATTCTTAAATTTACGAAAGATGATACGTTGACGTTTTACTATAAGACATATTATAGTCAAAATGAGTTCAACAAGGTAAACATGAGAAACAAAAGGAAGAAGATGAGTGATATAAGAGAAATTGCTATGACCAAAGCATACTCCCAAAGATTGGTGTTATCTGAGAGGAAAAAAACTGACTTACGTTCCTTGATTGAACATAATCTGATACCTCATTATTATGCTGATTTTTATAATAACATTATTTAATAATTATTTTTATAAGTATAACAGGCTCTTCTGCGGTTTTAGTTTTTAGTTTTAAATAGCACTGTATTAAAAAAGTATTGATTTATTTAAAATGTTAACATGTTAAGGAGTTTTTTTTTTGTTATGATTCAATTTATTTACATAGGTATAAGTATAAGGTATTAATTAAAGTTTTTTGATATTTTAGGTTTATTGTCTGTACCAAAGTGACTTAATATAAGTCTTTTAAAAATAAAAAAGTGTATAATTTCACAGATTTTTTAAAATATAAAATGACTTATTTCCTTATGTGACACGACAGCATATTTTCAGTTTATACTTGTAGTGCACTTTTCATAAATAGGACAAAAACAGTACAATGATTTCAGAATAAAAGAGACCTAAGACGAAAACGGTCTTTTAAAAAAATACAGTTTCAGTATAATACTGACTTAAATTGGGAACCTTTTTAAAAAACCTTAATTTTAATTAAAAATAATGCAACATACTATTTTTTTTGCTCATATTTCACAAAAGATATACTTAAGTTAATACAGAAATCAAATAATTGATATGTTTTCATACAAAATTAATTAATTAAATCAGTTCAAAGTTGAAAGTTTGCAGATTCTAAACTTCATTTTTGTTTTCCCAAAATAATGATTTTTTGAGATACGTCTGTACTATTCTGAAGGTGCGATATGTGGCGTCTGACTTAAAACTGTCGCACGTAACTTAGACATAACCATTGATATACAAAAAACCCAAGATGCACAGTCTCATATAAAAGTAACACTCGAAAGTGTCCCGAAACAATATTTCTGTCCATAACAGTATATGTTACAAGCATATATTATTGCAAAATCAACCTTACGCGAATTGCTTAAAGTTGTTATTACAACGCAGCGTATACGTACTTAAAGCAATAAAATTTTACGACCGACCGTGGTCGGTAGGACAAGGTATTGAGTGGAGTCGAACATGACTTTTTTATTTACAACTATTTAACATAATTTTAAATTTATCCGACTTTTCGGGTGCTTTACAGCGTGAGAGCGCATGTACACGAGACCGGGCCTACACCCGGCACGAGCGGACTACCTACGCAGTACGCACAACGCAATATTATATTATATAATTATTGAAGTCGACCAGGAATTATTTATTGGAGATATACTACTGCGCATATTTGTATCTCCATGTTTAAGTTTGGGTTCCAAAATATGTAACATTTTTATAATGTTTGTTTTTTCATTCGAAAGTAGGTACTTCTCAAATTTCTAGTCATAGTTGCTTCTGAATGAGCGTATGAAATGCTTAATGCACCATGATCTTCTCTTTCTATTAACATGGGAGGTACCCAATGTCGTCTATGTATTTTTTCTTGAATGAAAAGAGCGTATGAAGGCGGCACCTCCATGAAACCGGGTCGTGTACAAACCGTCTTGTGTGCAAGCTCGGACGGTTTCTACCCGGCGCCGGCCAAAAACCGGGCCGTGTTGAAACCGTCTCGTGGGCATGAGCCCTGAGTGGTCACGGTGACTGAAGACAAAATGTGTTGGATGTTAAATAGTTGTCAATTTATAATAATACATAACTTTAATCCGGTTAAAAAGTTTTTTCTTTAAATTAAAAAAAATGTTAAATTGGCTACCTCCTGACCCACACTTTATATAGCGTAAATATATTTGTCAAAAACTACACACAAAGAAGTTCAAGAGTACATAAATTTATTTATAAAAAAACACAAATAAATAACATCGACTCCACTTGTAGACGCGAGACTATTTGAAATGAGCGCACAATTTAGAATGTTGCGCTCATTTTTTGAGGACGTTTTTTTGACGTTGAGTGTGCATCTTGGGTTTTTGTATATCAATGGACATAACACAAAATATCAAAACAACACGGTTTTGAAAATAATTTATTAATATTATAAAATATTATATACGTAACAGTAGTAGCACTAATAAATAAACATTGCAGACGCAGTGACTTAAATATAAATAAAATTACAAGTTTAGCATTTATAAGCTCTTCGGTAGCTTTAAGATTGTGAGTTTAGAACTATTTAAGCCATGAGGATTTCGTATTCAGGGAAACCAAGTTCTTGACCCGCAAATGAAATGTAACAAACACCGTGTGTCTGCTGAACCTTTCCTGTCGTGATGCTGCCTTCGTGGCGGACTCTGCCGATGTATAGAGGCTCTCCATCTTCAGACTCACCTCCTGGGAACGCGCCTGGCGGAACGTTGGACCCGCTCGTTGGCACCCAGTTACTGGGACCTCCCACCAGGACCTGTTTTTTTAATACTTAATAAACATTGCTAAAACATATTAACTTAAGTTCGGAAATGGTCCAACTTACCTAATATTTGTAAACTGAATTATACTAATTAAATAAAATAATTGATAAAACACAAAATTTACTCACTTGGTACTCGGGTTTTCCATTTTCCACACCTCCCCAAGGTACATAAGCACATCCATGTGAGGCTACTAATTTACCCGGTATCAGCGCACCTTCATGTTGCGCTCTGACCACGTAAATTGGCTCTCCGTTGCAATCTTGGCCGCCTACAACAGCTCCTGGGGGCAATTGTCCGGAAGAAGCATCCACCCAGATGCCAGCGCCTCCGACCGGGGCAGCGCCGCCGGGGTAGCCAGGGGGAGGTGCATATAGTGCGGCTGCTGAAGGCGCCGACGGTGGGACTGCAATTGCGTTTACATATAAATATCCAATCAAACTTCGATGAGTCTGATAGTATTAATGGTGCATGAAAGCTTCTAATGACAAAATAGCAACATTATATGGAAAGAGATTGTATATAAATTTTCTAAAAACAATGCAGTAAAAAGTACACCGCCATGTTTTAATTGTAGCTGGGGCTAATAAAGCAAGACCTACTTGTTTTATAGATAATGTTAGTACCTACAAAGACAAAATACACAAAATGTACCCAACGTACCGCTTCAACCGCAGTATTGCCATTATATGTGCGTTTTAGTACCACGGATGCACATTTAATATTTCACGTTTCCTATAATATGTTAGTCAAGACACACAAAAATTATAAGTTGTGGTTATATTTATTTAGACTAGAGATACATTTCTAACATAGCAATACAAAAAAGCCATCATTCCGAACAAAAGTTCCAAACACTCAACGGGGTTGGGCTGTGCCATTTTTGTTGAAATGAATAATTTTCCAAATTCCACGGGCGCCCCATCCTGTACGGACTCCGAAGTGGGTGACGGGGAAGGGTGCGGGATCTACCCAGCTCATGATCACCTCCCCCGACTGTCCATCGCGGACTGTTAGTCTGCCACAACGCCATTCGATAATAAATTTTTTAAAGTCGTTCGCATTCATTAGGCCCGGCGTCGGAACGGTCACCTACGATAAGTCACAAAAATTAGTCCCTCGGTCGAGCGCGGTTATTCCAGGCACACGACATCAAAATTCTACCTTTTCGGGTTTCTGTTTACAGTATCTAATAACAGACTGGCTGTTCTCCCATCCACCGAGGATGAGTTCGTAGATAGGCTCAACTTCGGCGGGTGCGGTCGTCAAGCAGACGTGGCAGTTGTGAGGGCCGAGAAAATCAAACTCGATCGAACCAGCTGCTACCGGTCCGAACTTGTACTCTAACTTGTCCGGAGTATCGAACTCAGCTCCATCTGGATCAATGTTTAGTTGCGTACATAATATATAAGTGTCAATTTATCTCGTTGTTATTTGAAATCAATTTGAGAGCTTTATAAACATTGAGACGATATTCCGATTGGGTTAATTTGATTTTCAGTTATTTCGGTTGGGTACATTTTGTATAAAATTTAGCCTAGGTAAACATACCCTCAATCTTCCAGGTGCCGGTGGCGCCCCAGCCAGTGCAGACGCCGACGAAGGCGACGGGGAAAGGTTCTGGGTCCGACCACGATATAAACGGGATTGCTTCACCCTCCCGCCCCGCGGACACAATGCCGCCGTCCCACCGCACCCAGAAGCCGCGAAATTCTCCCGCGTTAACAATTCCAGGGGTCTCAATTTCTACTTTGTCTGGTTTGGTGCGGTTTCGTCTGATTACGCTCTTTGCATTACCCCATCCTCCGATAAATATCTGCAAATTTGTATCGTTTTCTATAGTAATCGGTTTAGTGAAGTTAATTTTAAGTATGTAGGTAATTAATAGATGATTTTTACCTCATACATGGGATCCGATTCTTGGGGACCCATGGTGAGTGCAATGTGGGCATCGTTGGCAGTCCTGACCTTGAACTGCACCGACCCACTGGAGACTGGGAAAAACTGGTACTGAAGGTTGTCATCAGTAGACACATCTGAAATTTGTTTACAGGTAAGAGAATTATTATTTACATTAGAACATAGCAATTATTTAAATAATATTTGACAGGAAGAAATCACGTAGGTACAAGTTTCTTAGTATGCTACGTTCGCACATAATACGTGGGTTCGCCGTAATCATACATACATATTCGATCTTCCTATATGCAGTATTAAGATAAAGAAAATAGCAACAAGCATATATTTTCCTATGGTAAATTGATCCTTAATTTTTATATAATTATTCCGATTATCGGCATATATATTGACCTTGGCAAGGATGACGGGATTGACCGCGGATGAAATTACTCTTCATTATGTCTATTCATAATTGTGAATCACGGATAACATGACCTCGAGATAAATAAAACATCAAAAGAACCAAATCAATAAACAAATAGGTAAAAAAGATTTTAATAATAGATAATTGACCATTTTGTAACCAAGTTAGTATAGGTTGGCATTCAAATACATAATACTTATGTACCAATAAAATATATTGCTTATACTTTATAGGGTTCGCAAACGGTGATGTCATCTCAGAAAATGTGGAAAATCGATCGTGTTTGACCTTAACGTTCTGAAACCGAACCAGTTTATCAGTTTTCTTTTTTTTCAGTTAATCATATACACATTTATATATACACACTTGTTTGATGGTCTTTCCAACAATAACATTTTATTAATCATGGTCTCTATTCCTACTCAAAATATTATTAAATTTTACAAAATAAGAGGTCTAAATTAATTATGTACATTAAATTTCATACTAAAATATACGTACTTGTAATAGAAGATACAATAGTTAATTTATTAATAATTAGTAGTATCAACACTAATGTCATTTCTGTTTACACGTAACGGATGACAATTAATTATTTTAATTTATATTTTATAAGCGTCTACCAAACAGTACCTTCCATCACTTAATAATATTATATGGAGAAACAATATATATTGGTAACATAATCTTGCTTGTACGGTACCTACTAAGATACATATCTAGATTCTTGAAGGGTAACCTTTTATAAGATAATTTTTTGACGGATAAACGATATTTGCTTATAAACTATTATTAAACTAACGAATTTTTTATCCTAAAATTAGACATTTTGTTTTTATATTGATCCTAGCAGACTAGACGCCATTCCGCAGTCCACGCCCGGCTTTGGCCTCTTGCCAACAAACCTACATATTTTATTTACCGGCATTTAACTTATTTAGGCGAATTTAAAAAAGATAAGTAATTAGTATTCTATAAACGACCTACATAACTGTTCACACTACGTAATAGGTGTTTTAGAGTTAAAAATATAAATATGATTAGACACAATTGTTTATATATAAAATAGTGCATGCACGTAAAAACTTACCTAAAACATTAGCCATTTTATATGAATTATACACCAAATATTATAGTATGAACAACGTGGTCGCAGTGAGAGGCGAACTCCAACACTGAGCCGTGAGAAGTAGTTGCTCCTTGGTTGCTGACGACGTAACAGGATGATGTCATACCTCTGAATAAATATTTTCTGTTTGAACATAGAGTTCAAATTGGAATCTTGATCAGCGAAAGGAAACAATGTAAAAAGCCGGTTAGGTATAAGGTGAATTGTATCTTTACAATATTAATAATTTGTAGGTTCATATTTAGCAAAATAAAACCGATAACATAATAGGTATTTTGTGAGCCACGACAACATTTTTAAGTCTCCTATACACATTCCTTAAAAGAGTGATTGTAAGTCTTCAGCAGTACATACAGCATACCTCATAAAGGTGTTGGTTCATATTGTTGTTTCACAAGCAAACATTGTTACATAAGTATGCCCTGACAGGCGATATCTAGGGTCTCCAATGCGACGGTCATCAACGACCATAATATTATTATGCTTATACCTTAACTATAAAAATACATCGACCTTCATCACAACCTACAGCGACAAGGCCGAGTAAACATTGTCATTACTCTAAAATCATAAGAAGATAATTATTATTTCATTTATAGATTGTATAGATCTACTTTAGTAAACGCTAATTTACACTTCATACACGAAAATCAAGTTGACTCTAAGCATAGATTAATTATATCTTTAACGATCTCTTAAATTTCGTTTTAAAATTCAGTAACCTCATTTTTACTATGTACACAGTTAGAAACGCAATGTCTTTATACATCGTAATAGTGTTTAAAAAATACAAACTATTCAACATTAACGACTCGGACTGCAAAACTCTTTGAATAAACTAGGGATATAAAGCTATGAATTCTTATCGTATGAAATTATAGGAAGAAACCAGGTCAGAGGTCAGGCTTTTATGAATCAGGCCATAGATCAATGTAAGTCATTTGGTGAGGTAGGTAATAGACTCAATAGGTTCATGTCCTTAATACGTACATAATAGTAGACACTACTTGCCTTCCCTAGGTAATATATAATGCAAAGTACCTAGGCGTTTCGAAACATTAAAACAATTTAAAGGCCAGGTTCTGCATTGGTGACTTAATACGCATCCACTGATGGTCACAATACGTTTATAGGAATGACGAAACGTGCTTTGGATATAATCAATGACGATTTTATACCTATTGACTCATTAATGTCAGAGGTCATTCATTTAAGATAGCAGTCCACGTGATAATCAAAAAGCTTCTTATCAACAAAGTACCGTTTTGCATAAACAGTTTAGATACCTTGCTATTTTAAAACTTAAGGTAAGTTATAATGTTGAAATAGCCTTGTAATATCGTCAAAGTATTACAAGTTTCCGTTTTAAATATTATACGCAGGCGCAAACTATGGGCTGTGGACCGTGACTATGATTAAACGTGATGTCATACTACACCTATTATATAATAAAGAAATAGTGTAGAGAATAGAGATACTAAATAATTTCTTATGAGTAATTTAAATGTAATCGTCACTTTATACACTCTTTATAAAACAAGAAAATACTAGACGTATTTGTACTAATCATGTCTTTTGTATAACGCCATCTGCATGTTGACTTGTTAACCACAATGATTACACAAATGCATGTAAGATTATAGTGTAACGTATTCACAAGAGATGGCAGGATTCCACAAAATTTTAAATTACATGTGGCCAAAGTTATTTATACCGATAGAAATATATTTTGATATTCTAATCTTAAAATTTGTATTGAACAAGTATGTAATTACAATCGGCTATGTAAAAATTAAATTTCTTATGTAATGCCTTGTTGAGGATATATGCTCGTGAATAATGAATTGTGAACATGTCGGTTAGCATTGAAGCGTGACATAAAATTTGAGATTAATATTATAAAAAAAGCATAGAACCATCTGCTGAGTGCTACCCCCGTCGGCCAAAGCAAGGGAGGCCGCAGCTGCCGGGCACGCGCATTTGACAATAGCCTCGAGCAATGAACCCGCGACCCCTCACGGCTCAAACTACCTACGAACACTATGCTCTCCATTCAATGAAAATAAAGGGAAGATTCCGTTTTAAAAATTGAACAGCTGATCTATTTTCGAGAAATACTCAATAATGGAACATTTTTAATAGAAACTTTTTGCTCAATGTCCGCTGAAAAGTTTATCTTTATAAAAAAAAGTCAGTTATGTAATTTTACACATTTACAAATATACATACCGTATAATGTTTTGATGAATTTGTTTATATTTCCAACCGAATAATATTATTTAATTTAATATTTTTAATTATTATTATATATGAGTCTTTTCATATATTTTTGATGTTTGGCTAATAATAGTTATATGTTGTATATCTATTCACGTAATAAATATTAAAACAGAGTATTATATGTAGTAAGAAGTTAAATTTATGTCAAATGAAATGTTATGTTATTTTTTTGTTATGTGACTGAATAAATGTTTTATTTAATTAGCATGACGGTATATTGTAAGCCTACCGGCAATATGTTTGTGTTTGTTTTTTTTAAATAGATTTCATAGTTAATTAATAAATTAATTATTTAAACCATGTTAGAGAGTGTACCAGTTACATAATTTTACAAGTAGTATACGGTTATCATAAACGGAGGTAAAGTTACAAACATAAAAAGCCTCATTGTGTAAAGTAAAGTTTGTGTAAAATATGGTACAATATGACAGCGGGTGGAGGAAGTGAGTTGTCGGCAAAGAACAATAGTTTCCCACGTGTGCTACCTTCCTGTGATATTTGAAACTGTATCACTGCCCCGTCATCCTTTACAATTTCACCTATTTCTCTTTTCCTCAAAATGTTACATAATTGTTATCTATTTATAGCTTGCCTGCTTGATATTCGTATTTCTAATCGATTTATGCCAACACATCAATTATAAATCTATTAAACGGTAATAAAATAGAGCTGTTTCCTTCACTTTCATATTTTTGGTACTGTCAGTAATACGTTAAAAATATATACGCTTAATAAATTGTTGTGTTTTTAATCAAAGGGTTCATGATAAGTACTGTAGCCGCTTATCTTAGAAGATCAGTTACTTACAGTCTTTTTGTAGATAAAATAAAACTATTTAGGTAAGTAATAAAGTAATATTTGCTTTTTCTACTGAAGGTATGTTATGACGTTTTATTTAATTGCAAAGCCGTGTTTTACATAAATTTTTTGGCCAATGCCAATCGAGGACACGGAGGATTTCGGAAGGAGCAACTGTGATAACTAGCTATATCATTGTAAGCACTGGAGGGTTGCTGAGGCAGCAGGCCGTAGCAAGCACACGGCACGGCGACGCATGTGGCCCCGCATCTGGTGAGGCGGGCGGCGCGGGGGGGGCGAGGGTCGCATTCGTAGCGGGGCGGGCGCCACGTGCGCTCTCGAGAAGGCAGGAGCACCAGTCCGCGCGCAACCATCGCATTAGCTGCACGTACATCATTGCAGATTACACCGTCGTATTATTCTCATCCGCTGAGCTGCGGAGTGTATAGTGGTAGAGTGCGAGAGTGACCGCCGCGACGGAGACCGTACAAGGAATGTTGATGGCGGGCGCTTTGCCGGCCGAGCCTGAGGGGCTACTGTCCCTGGGTAGTTTACCCGGTCAAAAAGACACCACATGGACCAAACTCTTTGTCGGCGGTCTGCCATACCATACCACGGATAAGAGCTTGCGAGAGCACTTCGCGGTTTACGGAGATATCGAGGAGGCAGTAGTCATCACGGATAGACAGACTAGCAAAAGTAGAGGATACGGATTCGTAAGTCATTTTTAATAATATATAAATATAAGAATATCAATAATCTTGATTGCAATAATTTAATTTGTTCTTAACAATAATATCCTATAGAAATAATAAACAGCCACGTAGCGAGCAGAAACATCGCTTACAGCTGAAGCGACACGTAAACTTTACAGTGCCCTTGCGCATTCGTGTTTCTACGACTCTGAAACGTGTACCTATATTATCGAAGTGTTATCGCACCTGCTATTTACCTACATACTAGTACCTTGTATATAGGTTAGGTTTATACAATAAATACAAACTGATATTGTTTGCTTGGGTAAACTATCCCTAGATTCCTTTGCGTCCTGAAGGATAGGTGCTATGTGAAACGTGACTGAATTAAGAGGAATTAGATTTTTCAATAAACGATTTCACTTCCCTCGCTTGACATTGCAAATCTTTCAGCCTATTGTGTAGTTAAACAATAGGTGCCTGAGCATTAGTTACAAATTAGAATAATTTCACAGGGCATAAAGTATCTAAGTGTACGTCGCGTAGTAAACCGTAACAAGGTATACAATGTGTGGTCTATTGTCGCTAGCAATAAAAATTACATATTTAGTTGTTTTTGAAGTTGATACCCTGCATTTGTACCGATGAAATGTGTGAAATTTGAACAGATGCGAACAATAACGTAAAAAAGGAATGAACTGGCATCGGAGAATCTTTATCGTAATAGAGTCTGAGGCTTTTCGTGTAGTGCGAGTGGGGCTCGTGGGAAATGAATCACAACCCCATTTCAATTGAACTGGGGTAAGGCACCCTGTTGCAGGGAACCGGCTCGTTGCACCCTCTCTGTCACATCCAAATAGGTTTAATAATCGCAATGCGTCACTGCAACACCAATATCGACGATTCTTACGACGAAGCAAATATTAAGATTCACACAACTTGGTTAACATATTAGTTTTCTCATAAACCCAAACAGAATCCAAATAGTGTTTAGGAGACAGATAAGATTCGAATAGTTTTTAGTTTTGAACAGTATGTGGTATGGATTACTCAATTATCGGATTTAGATAGGTACGAGACTTCTGAAAATGTCTGTTTGTGACCTGGTGTGACGCAATAATAACGACATATTTTTATGATGTTTTTATAGGTAAACTGTAAAGTCTGAAACAACATACCCAAAGTCCTAGTATTAATTATATAGATGAATTTGGTAACAATAGTCCAGTAATAAGTAGGTAGTTTCTTAAAAATTAGTTATTCTGAAAAGATCTCGGAAATCTGGCATGTTTTTAAACTTATCTCGGTATTAAACATTACAATTGTATTGTATTTAATTTAATAAATAAAAAAATGTCCCTACCTAATAAAACTATACGTAAAATATGTATTATTTTCTTATTATTGCGACTCATCTTTGTTTTTTCTTTTTAATCGATCTAGATTTAATTTATTATATTTGTAGATATTAGTTTAGCAGATTAAGCTTTATCACGTTTAGATTTTAAGTTTGAATGTCTAATATAAGTTACTTATTGTAATCTTTTGAGGTTGAAATATGTATAATATATATAAACTTTATAAAATTTATATATATATATATAACAAGACTAAATTTTTTTGTCATTGCTTAATACAGTTAGAATAAAATATTTAGAAAAAATCATACGGTGAAACCGTATTAGAGTTTGTTTTAACCAGGTGTAGACAGTAGTATCAGATGATACCCGAGTACCTAGATACGTGATGAAGTACACACCGAAGACAAAAGACCGTCACTCGATAGCCACCGTGCGGGCTGAGAGCATACTACGGGATTCAACAAAACCTTCCTCATAATTAGATAGACCACACAGCTGTATTATATTGAAACACACGACTCGCCCTGTGTTGGTATTGTTGTAGTGCTGGACTGATTAGAATAATAATAATATACTAGTGAAAGTGAAGGGGTGAACAATAAGTACCTTAAACATAGGATTTGTTTATAGTTTTGTTGTAGAATACTTTGGTACATACCTAAATATGCTATTCACTGCCACATCGTAGCAATTGGTGTTTATACACAAATATTCTTTTTAGATCTGGCCATTATTTGCGACGGTACTTCGGTATGCATAATGATATCTATAGAATATTATTTTTAGCTTAAGGATAAGGCGGAAAAGCCTTAGATATAAGCTCTTCTTTAAAGTATAGTATTTCCTTTAGAAAGAAGCCCATTAACTTGTGGAAGTAGCTTACAAATATTGATTTGAACCGACGGCTCGTAATACCGATTCTTTTCCTAGTAGACTATTAGTATATGTGAGAGTAGTTTTCTTAAATATTTCTTAGACATCGTCTTTTGCAACTAAGTATTAGATCAACTAACCAGTAAATGAAGATTAAAGGGCAAACACATTTCTCTGAAGCCCTAAAACCGTCCAGTTTATTCATGCGCGAAATCTGTCATCTGAGTAGTAATTTAATTATATTGTATATTTTGAAGACAGCTGATTCTACAGTACAATATGCATCGATTACATAATATAATCCCTTTTCAGTAAGGAGCTGTACCGTCCAGCTAAATTGGTTGGGCGGTCCTATTTGTTTCCTATCGTATTGGACACGCCTAGTTATCTGACATTGATTCTTATTGTGTATGAATTAAAAAAAAAAATTTAATACATTTCTACACGTAGGTACCTATCATTTATACTATTTTAACACATTAAATTAAACTGTATTTATATATGTATGTATAATTACTAGGTCATAAAAGGTACATCGATTTAATAATATCATAAATTATGTCTAATTAACGAAAATAAAAATAAATATTTATAAAAAAAGCCATCGTTAAAAAGCTTTGTATTAGCGATCTAATTTGTTTTAAAGCAACTCGGGTAGCGATTTTATCAGTAATTGTAATTATGCAGAATGTTATCGGTAGGTACACCGCCGCGCCGAGTGCAGGAAGTTGAGAAAGTGTTGACAATTTACTAATGCGTGCCTGCCGCTGTCAAACACTGTGACATACAGGATCTATTACGCAGGAAAATCAATATTGTTAAAAAAATGTATAAATCAATACACGGAAAACCTATATTTTTGAAAAGGCAAAGTTTGTAATACTTGGTTATCGGCATATCCCGTTTAGCGACAATAAAGAAATGTAAGACTGTTTTTAGCGGCGGCGGTCTAACATAAATGTAAAGGTACGTATACAAACGGCTTATCAGGCACGGGGCGCAGCTAACGTTGATTTAAACGCTTTGTAACAACATTTTGTGAGCTGCCGTATCGAACTGATTGCAATACATACGTACTTCGATTTCTGTATTTAATTAAAATTCGAATTTAATTTACATACAATGCCAGGTATTTTTTAATTAACGTATCACAGCTGGTGTAAAACAATGTATATGGTTTTAATATACCTTTATTTAAAAGTCTCCGAAACCTGTAAAACATTTTCGTCGCAACATTACTTTATTATTAGATATATTTTTCATAATATCCAATACTAATCGTCAATAGTAAATACCATATAATTATATATATTAGGAGACGGCAAATTAGTCTACCATACAATGAAAACCTAATATGTTATATTGTGGTAGGTTTCGTTAAGAATCATTTTAATTTATTAATATAAAATATACCTTCACAACTGTCGCTCAAGGCTTTAAGGCTTTTAAAGCAGTATCCTTGAATACCTAAAATATTTTAATTTCCAATTGTATTAGACCTTCAATATCTTAGAGGTCATCAAACATTTGTTTGATCGTATCGATATTACGTATTTTAACCATTTTCTTAGAGCCCCGGACTAAGTGATGGGCTCACTTTATGCCATTTATTTCGGTTATTTCTGGGGTCAAACGAAAATGGTCGATCCACTGTAGAGGTGTCGACCTGCGGAGCTCGCATGCATTACAATAGGTAATGTGGATTGTGGACGCCGGCGTCGTCGGTTGTAGGTTTTATTCGAATCGATAAAAACTATAATAATAATGACCCGTCGTAATGTAAACGCTGTTCTAGACGCTAATTTTTCTAAGTTTTATCATTTATATCAGTTAGAAATTATTTTCGTTGTGGCATTGGTAGGTAGTATGAATTCTTATGTTACCTTTTCTTCATCAGGTAATAATGGGAGACAGAGCGGCAGCGGAACGTGCCTGTAAAGACCCCAACCCAATCATTGACGGAAGGAAAGCCAACGTGAACCTAGCAATACTCGGAGCGAAGCCTCGAGGGAACTTAGCGCCTGGTGAGAGATATTGCATTAAGTTTAGATTTAATTGGCAACCTTTATATTGCAAAGTATGAACAACGTGGCTTCTGGCTATACCGATATATCAAACATGTTAATTTATCCTATGTTACAACGTCCCACCGCTTTGGTGTAAACTGTAAACGCATTAAGACTTGGGGTTCACACAAATTAGAATCAACGAAACCTATGGATGTAATTTAAAAAGCTTGGTCCCTGTGGCAGTGTACCTGCTGGCAACATTTATCGCTGTATTGCGATACTTATTACGTCGCGGGAAGCACCAGCTCTGGCGGCATCGGTACTATCTACCAAGCGCCAACTTAAATCTTTAATTGTCGTCTGTGCACTTGAATCCTTCAACCCAAGAGTCTCACTCCAGGTTTCATTTATATTGAAGGCAATCTTATGTTTATAAATATTCAAAATATCATCTAATCATTATTACTTAACCTGGATCAATTGGATTGTACAGCTCGAACGTTTTTTTTGTAAAATATTTAGCATTTGTGACAATATGTGGCAACAACGTGGGTGACGCTTTGGGGGCATTTGTTCTTGTCATTATTCATAAGCTAATCTTTTATCACATGCATAAAATAGGTAAAGAACATACTTATTTTCTTTCTTTTATATAAGAATACCTTATTAGGTCGATTTAATTTGAATTTGTTGTTAACGGCTTCGATTTATTTTACCTTTGTTTGTAAAAGATAACATTTGTTTGGCAATTTACAATCAAATATATATAATAAATATTATCTAGAAAACTGCACTACATCGCATTACATTCTTTGTTAGTTTCACAAATAGACAATTGGCGATTGTCTTATGTCTTTTGGCAGGTAGAACAATTATCAAAGCCAGGTGATCTCTAAAACAATAAATATATTAGCGTATTGTAGGTACTAGCTTATATCTTAAACGTTAAAACAATGAATATTTCTCACTTATGATATTCCTTTCATTCAATATGAATTTAAGCTACTTTTGGTAAAATAAATATTGGACAAAAGAATGCTTGCTAATTTAAACGTACAAAAAAGGTATATATACATATATATGTATTTGTGTTTTTTTTCTCAGTCTTTTGGTTTTGCTAAAAACAAAATACAAAAATATCGAATCAGAAATAAACAGCATATTCTATTACAAGTTAAATATTAAGTTAGGAATGAAGGGAAATGAAACTAATAGAAAAAGTATCAAAAATCGATACGGGTGTTAAATTAATAATGGTGCAACGTTGTAGTGGATATCGATATCATAAACTGATAATTATCTGCCGGTTGATTGTTAGGCTATCTCGGCGGATATAATAAAATTAATAATTATTAATTTCGCGAACGAAAAAGTCACGTAAATTTTATCTTCACTGGGCGAGTGATATTATGTGCCTTTTTATAATATATATAGAAATACAACATAGCTAAGTACTTATAATAAATACTAGATACAAATAGTACTCGTAGTAATTAAATATTTTTTATAGAACTCTTTCGATGTATAAAAGAAATAAGAATAAAATCCAAGAAAAAATAAATGCAATACTTATCGCGCATTTGCCTTTTGTTGCAATGTCCATTCTAAATTAAATACAATATATTTTATAAATGTTTCGTTCACGTTACGATTCAGCACCTATTTTGGTAAAATTTATCTTGAGAACGATCACTAGTCTTATTAATGATGCCTTCTTACTCTTGCTTAACATCGGCAATGAATTAGTGAAAGTGCAAAGGCTGTATCGGTATAAGGTGATGATCTTGTCAACGTCGCGTCAGTGGTTGTGACGTCACGACGCAGCCCTCCGGATGTCCCTCACCGGGGCCGGAAACTCGTAGCTCGCTAATTGATTGGTTCTCGCACGCAACCCTTGTAAGCCTTACTTGTGGTGAAATCTGCTAACATGGCAATTTATTAACCAACTGTTGAAGTGATTTGCATAGCTCCACTTGTCACCTTTAAAATGGAAAATGTAGTAACGTGTGTAATGTGTATAGTTTGTACTTCATCGTGTTCGCAATCTCGAATCAGCTATTTTATAACAGCGACGAACAGACGGAAAACTGAAAGCTATGATAGAAAATAAAACAAGCATAATTTCATAGATTGTCCGTAAAGATAAAAGGACCAAAATTACATAATGATACATACAATATTGTTACAGCAATTATATGGTCTACTTTTATAACGTCAGTGGTGATTATATGTTGCTTATGGATTTGTTTTTTTGTTAAAAATGTAACGGATGAATCAGCTGATTCAAAAAAAAAGTCTTATTGTGTTAGGTGTAACTGACTGGATTCCGGTCGTAACAGCTTCGCAGATTATTATTGTTAGGAGTTGGCACGAGGGACAGGCGAGGGTCGGCAAGAGGGGCGGGGTAAACAGGCACAGTACAATGGGTGCGGGCGCGCATGACGGCCACCTGGCCGAACCGTGGCGTACCGGTCCTGCCATATGCCCCGTGCCACGGCCCATAGCCCACTATTCGCCAGCCGCACTGAGTGTCATTAGCTCTGTGTATTGATTGTAACCATAGCGACCCCGAAGGCCAGTTCCCAAATTAACTATATTCTCGTTTTATACTATATAAAAAATCTGATAATTATCTGTATGTTTTGTATTAAACTCGGTCACCTTCAAATGAGATCCTCGCTTTGACTTGTCTGAGTTTGCTATTGTTCGAATAAGGTTAACGATGCGATTCCTAACATAACGAACATTGAGCCCTTTCATAAATACATCCAAACGGCAGTCTGTTTAGTATACCTGAATTACTTCAAAATATTTCTGCTCAACCTGTTTAGGCTCAGATTCAGTTAAAGCTTGAAAGGGCTACATTAAATAAAAGATATGACGGTTAAACGAGTTGATGTATTTTGTTGTACGGTTTCCTTGCAGGACTGTTTTGAGGGTTGCTTGATCTTGAGTTCACAGGCACACATTTCAACCCATCAAACTTCCTTTGTTGAATCTTGCCTTTGTTACATTTATCCGGACCAAATTGTTTAGTTATGGATGCATACGATCGGAAGAATTAGTTCTGTCAAAATTTTTCACATTACGTCATGTTCCGAACACAGTGAACGCAGTGAGTATAGGATTTCCCTTTTCTTGTTGTCTATACTTACATAAATCTCAATTAGTAGTTAGTGCATACAGTTGTAATTTGTTTTTTCAATTTTCTTATCTCGAAATATCGTCGTATTTTGTTAGGTTGGATAAATATGTCTAAAGATATAAGGCGTTAAACAATCATAGTTTTTAAGGAAATGGTTCATTGCCGAGTGATGAGCGTAGCTTATCTGTCTTCGGTGGCTACTGATTATTCGATGCCAAGATAAATACGCGCTCTAAGCGATAATAAACGATTTCAAGGCACTTCTACATGTAGCACTACAAATAGAGTAATTCATCATTATAATTAAAAACTTTTTAATAAATATTTTATGAACACTGCTAAAAGCTGAAACTATAAAAACTTCTTTCATTGTCGACTTTATTTGGTTAGGTGTTGAAATTCTATAGAACCATACCAGATCGCCATGATTAATTTAGCTCCGACATTATTTACAATATTTTGTTTATTCAACTTTAATTACTGCGATACAAAATGATGTAGCCTAGTTTCTAAATACATTGAAGTTACGACTAACGAGTAGTTTGAGGCGCGCTGACGTCGATTATGAAAACATTGTTAAAGTTTTATTATATGGAAGTGTTGATGAGGGCCGAGCGAGCACTTGTCCAAACAGCCGGGGACACGTTGAATTATTGAACGATTGAACACTGGTAGTAATCGATTCACACCTGTCTTTTAGGACTCTGAGAAAAGTGATTAAATTGGTCCGGGAGTGTAATTATCGAGCTAAGTACTTAATAGCGCATGACACCCAGTTCTTTGAAGCACTATACGTTAAAAACGAAGCTTTGGGAGTCATCATTCATTAATGAAGAGTTTCAGCGCCCAGCGGGTGTTTGCAGAGGGGTTAGCCTTTAGCGTCACAGGCGGCGGCGTTGTCGCGTGCGCCGCTGCCGCTCGCCCCTTAGCAGTGCATTACTTATGCATGTACCCTTGCGTCCCTCTCCCCGCTCAGTTCCCAAAACTATTTTTATTTCGGCTTTAGGTTTAAGGCGTCGAACGGCCTGATGATTCCACGCGCGTCGTTCGCCTGTTACGATCAATAATTGATTTGAGCTGTGTATTCTATACATTATGGCCGATCCGATAGCGTGGTGAAGCCATAATGTAAGTAGCTCGATAACACCGCGTGATCGTATCTAACTTTACAGTAATCGTTTATACATAGCCATTGTACATAGGTATATAACTACCAGTGAATATGTACCTTCCTAACCCGACGTATACATTATATAATATTGTATTGTTGAGGACGGAAATGTATAATTACTGCAATGACTGACTTTGCATAACACACCGTGATTTGGCCATAAATATTATTATTGTATTAACTATTCAGTGTTTTTTTTATGAGGCATGCGCCATGATTTGAAATAATTATTGTGAAAGCGAATCAAGCTAATAATGATATCAATATGAAACACGAATCTTACATTCGCGAAAGTAATAGGACGTTATAAATAAATAAAAAGTGCCTGCATACAAAGTACACATGTCAGAAGTGAAACTTAAACTAATGAAACAAATTTTTAAATCTTTTTCATATTTATACAAATCTAAAACTTTAGATTTCCGACACTTTGAGGGAAGGAAAAAGGAAGATATGTTAGGAATATAATTGTCATTAATATATTTAAAATGTCGAAAGTTAATACAATAAAAACACGTGACATTTTAATTTACAATGCGTCATTTGAGATTACAATAAATTATTTTGCATAAAATGATATATTATATATACTAATATTTCATAAAATCTCTTTACGAAATTTTAATTTTAAAAAGAGAATTTTTATAAAGTAATTCGCCCTTCTCACTCTCAATCGGTCTCAATCGCTCTCTTCCTTTTTTTCGACAAAAACGCTGCACATCACAATTCATCACTTAAAATAATAAATAATTCGTAGTAAATCTTAAATATTTTGTGTCAACGGATGCACTATAATTATTTTGTATATAAAGTAAGTTGTATTTTGTACCAAATTATTACCCGAACATTGAATTACAATTCAGATAGCTCTAGGTACTATCTAGTAGGTCTAAGACAAAACTTAAATAGATGACTGTGCGTAAAAATTCAGTATTTTTAAACGATTTACACAATTAACAATTACAAAATAAACCTGAAAAACCATTAAAAAACAACATATTATACATTTAAAGAAAAAACTTTTTAACCGGATTAAAGTTATGTATTATTATAAATTTACAATTATTTAACATAATTTTAAATTTATCCGATTTTAAAATTTTGACAATACATCTTGAGCTAGATTACATAGTTTGTGTATAGAATACGAACCTAAGATAAGTACTATGCTATGTGGTAGTTTTAAATATTCATAAAATGCCTAGTATTACTTAGCAGAAGTATTGTAGGGGCTAGGCCTGGGTAACTTAATACCTGGAGGTGATTTCCGTAGGAAGCCCTCCTCTAGTATCACGATATAGTGTAGGATTTTTTTTAAATATTCTAATTCCTCGTTATATCCATAATGTAACGTTCTATTTATACTACAAATTTTCAATGGACATTAATAGGCGGTTCTTGGTATAAATGAAGTCCAAGAAAATATCCTTGGTTTGTTTTCATAACCAATATTCACTTAGATTTCGCAAAACTTTAAAGTAAAGAGACTTATTCCCGTTTTAATTATTATTTATCGACCAACAGCTGGCGAGCAGAGGTTGGGTCGAGTCCGGCGAGCGACGCGGTTATTTATAAACCAAGATTGCGTCTCGTTTTGTCTTCGCTTGCCTCTTTATTTTATCTAAATATACGCAGTTTTGGGAGCACCGCGACATTAGCGTTGGCCGCGTGCCAGGTCTCTAACGGCCTATGTCTTCTCGATGGATTTCTTATCCAAGATTATACTAGCCACCATTTCCTGGATACTTAATGAATATTTTCAATATGATCCGAGCAACGACACCAAGCTTAATCTTACCAAGGTTAAAACCACTGTCTGTCTATGTTTAGTGTTGAATTTATAGGTCTGTACGTCAGAGACGACACCGATGTGATCAAAAGGAAGGCCACCGGACATGCCAAACTGTCACGGTCGTGACAACGTTATGTGCGATGGCTGGTGGCACACGGGGCCGTCTATCCCGAGCATGTAAAATCGTAACTACCTACATTGTATTTAGAAATCGAGCACGATTCTATACAAAGTAAATAATTCCGAGCGTTAATGTGCGTTTTCGGTGGTCCAACACGTTTACGAAAAATCGGAAGTCGTAAATGCTATTTCATAGTTGTAATAAAGTTTGCCTGTTCGTCGATTGGTTTCTAGCGTTCCACTTATTTTCTATTTAACAAAGAAATTGTGACAGGAGCCTTGCCCGGCGCTGCGTCTAAAATCGTATTTCCGTAGAATCCTTACAAGCGTCGTTAAGCTCTGTATGTCGGCTTTGCAGTTCGTCGACCCTAAGAGCGGGACTGAAATCGCACAAAAACATTCAAAACGAACCTTTATTTACTTCAAAACGTGGGCGATCAGTCTTTCAGAGAAAACTGACTAACGCCCGTGGCTGCGTCATTCGATTTTAACGCCACATCGCCGTGTTTGTTCAATTGTCATTAAAATATAGGAGGGACGAATTACCTAATCGATTCGGAATGAAAGTATAACTGGGTCATATTGGACAATATGGTATCGAGGTCGACAGCATGAAGAGGAAAACCCTAATGAATCAGATAAGCTTTATGGTGGACAACAGCGACCTCGGCCGTCAAATGCCGAGCCATCGATCGCTGCGGCGTACATCGTTGTTGTTCCGACACGCGATCAACCCTATCAGTGTGTGGTGGCTACATCACCCCTTTACATGTCATCAAATTATGAACAAACTGATTAATTACGCTTCCTAAGACACATCACAAAAAAATAGAATAAATCCAGTCCAATCCACTGTAATAAACTCTAAAATATGCCCTTAGTAGTAGTAAATACCGAATCCCAATTATAAAAAGTATTATAGTGAAAATGACGATTAAGATTTACGTAAATATTGTCAACGATAGTGAAGGTCGTGCATTACCGCGCTAGCCGGAGCGAGACCCCGTCCGGGTCGCTACGGAAGTATGTTATTTGGTACCTACCTTGCATCAATCGGTGAAATTTCACCATACATTTCACGACTGGCCAGTGGTCACGGTTTTATGAACACTGGACAGTAATCATCATTCACTACGGCTGCGCCATTTAAATCCGGCTCAAAGGTCAAAAAATTAAATGTTTGTATTTACATGGTAGTTATCTTCAAAAGAGTTAAATTATAGCTTTGTTCTTATTGTGTCTATTTTAATCAGTAACGTGTAGCATCAATAAAATAGTAGATGAGAAAAAGTATCATGAAGTCGACAAGTGATATGAGCTAGAATTATACATAAATAGGTATGTCGGGAGATGTCGCTGAGAGGGCGGCGCGGCGGTGAGCGACCGAAATAGACGGAGCCTCGCGCTGCTTGACAATGCAATAAAAAGAAAACATTTAAAACGTCGCCTGCGCTAAGTTGTCTCTTGTGTCATTTGGATGTGCTCCAACATCACCGGTTATATTCCACCGGAGTCCTCACTAGGCGCTTCCGCTTAGAGCAATGAAAATAGAATCTTTTGACTCCGGCTCTTGCGTTGATAGATGATATTTTTCCGTTCAACGTCCTAATTTCGCTTTTGGACCCATGTTAATGACAAACATTCACTAATGCGGCTGCCCAATTTGTTTCAGGTTTCGGATTAGCGGCAGCGGCAGCAGCTGGTGTTCGAGCAGGTTATCCCACTGTGCTACCCGCACACTACGGGTGAGTTTCTTCCTTGCTCGATGTCTTATAGACAATTTACATTACGCATATACATGTTCTGTGACTTCTCACTTCGATGTTTGCAAGCACACGCGGCTCCGACCTGCCGCTCACTAAACATCTCACGAGACAAAAATCAGACAACTTTCCCGATTTATTGATACATACCATATAGAAAAGTATAATGTAGGTATTTTCAGATTCATTAGTCTGTATCTGGCAACCACTAAAACTAGCCTTGAGTAGCTCGAGTTATATTTACTTAGATGATAACCGCAGGCTGCTTCGTAGGTAAGTAATGTGAGAGCGAGTAAGCACCAAGACACAAGAGTGATGCTGAGCTGACTTTTGTCTCGGTAGATGAGACGATCAGCAGCGGTGGCGACGGCGCAGCGCTGCGGACTCCTTGTCTAAATAATCGAACATTTTCACATAGGTATCTATGGCAAGAGTGAGAGTGAGAGTGGATTTTTTTCGTTTTGGGTGTGAATTAGTCGATTGGGTTTTTAATGTTTACGTTTGAAGCTATAGAGCGGCGGGGGCGGCCCCTGTCGCGCGGGGCCGGGCGGGCGCCGCCCAGCGCCTTCACTGGCGCATCGTTCTCAACACTTTGTGTTTTTCTTTATGTTTTATGCCGTGTTCATGTAATATTTCTTTTGATTTGACTTGAGTTTGTTGGTGGTGGATTTCGTTAATACACTTACATTAATCTTTGTAACCGCGATCGGTCCCGCTCGGCGTGTGGCTCGTGTACCGTAATTTATTTGAAAAAAAAACATGTTTGAAAAATTCTCGTTCCCTAAGCTCAAGACTCATCATGAGATTTGTTCCAAAGCATTTTATGAAATTATTTTTGTGACGGCTTCGCGTCTCTGCTAGTTTCTAACAAGCTAAGGTCACGAGTTGTGATTCCATTCACCAGAACTCGGCTAATCACTTTTGGTCAGTTTCATAAACAATTTACTACAAAATTCATTTTTGTGAATGGTCTTAAAGGGATGTTCTGATTATGTGATTCCCATGGTCTAATCGTGAAAGAGGCCATAACTGTAGCTTATAGGTTACGTTTAGAACGCCGCCGTGCCAAAAATTCCTCGTGATGAAAAACCGTCACCACCACACTAGGTATCGAAATAGTCACAAAGTGGATCACCGCTATCGCTATCCGCTGTAGATTAATTATTAAATTAGGTTAATTGTGTCGACATTTTATTAAATTCACAATTTTCAGTTCAGTCTTTTGTCTGTAAGTAAATGTGTTTTTAGATTTGCATGTTGAATAATAAATATTACATTTTCAATTTTGTTAAGGTCAGGTCTAACCGTATTAAGTAGACTTTAATATTGTTACGTTTTAGTTTTTAAATGTTGTGTAAGTAGTTGTGGAGCTTGTGTGGTGTTGCGCCAGTTTGTTTATTGTGCTCTTCCCGCGTGTTCTCGTGTACCGGTCCTAACACGTAGGTGCTTCTGGAGGCAGAGCCGCGCTCCCAGCAAGGCGGTGTAGGTATCGCGTCCGCGAATAGGGCTAAACCTCTACAGGTAGGCGTAGCGCCGGGCGGGGTCTCAAAGCCCGCTCAGCGCATGCGTTAATGTCTCCATCTCTGGAGCCAAGCTATCTAACATCTACCGCCCGAACGTTGAGTACCAATCGATCCGTCTCCATCGGCGCATTAGCGACAGAGAAAGACGACCGCTCCCCAGCGACGCTCTGAGGGCTCTCCGGAAACGCTGACGCAGAGCCCTCGAGCACTCTCCAACGAACTTGACCGCCCGTCGACTTTTAATAAATTTTGCTGAATCGACAGTTCTTTCGTTCGCCAACAAGGTTTTCTATTTCTCTTTGTCGATCGAGACTAAAACTGGGTTAACACGCTCTCGACACTGTTATTCTTGAACGAATTAACCGTTTTGCGTTTCGGAAATAGATCAAAAAAGCTGAAATGTTAATCGTGATAAATCTCGGACGTTAGACGCGAGATGTCGACGATTAGGATATTTCGGTCGCGGCGGAGCAGAGAAGATTTGATGACGCACGGCGGCCGTTCATTCGCGACGTCTCCCTCGGTGGCCACTAACACCGGTAGCTGCTCGTGTCTTTAGCGGCCGGCTCTGCCGTAGTTGCGTGTTTCGATCGTTATGATTGCTCACAGATATGTGTTCGATCACTAATGTTTCCGGCCGAAAAATAGAACAACTTACGTTTAGTCGATTATTATAATGATTATAATAACTTAATATGTATAGAAATGGTAATAAATCTAAAAAGCAGAAAATAATTTGAATCTACTACGTTATTAAATGAGACTTAATTTAGACAAATTTTGGCGTTATGCCAACAGAAAATGTATAGTCGTGTCGGGAAAGATGTCTCAGAACAAATACATTTCTTGTACTTATATAAATAGATGAATAGTTTCTATAGGGCCAAATATTCGACAATACTCAGATATTGAATTTTGTCTTGGATGACTAAACGTAAGTGGGGTCGGCCTAAATGTCCGTGTGTATAGCAATCATAACATGTGTGTGTGTCGCAGACTGTCCCCCGGGTACGTGTACGGCGCGCCAGGCTACGTGGGCGGCGTAGGCGGTGTGGGCGGCGTGGGTAGCGGGGCGGGACTGATGCAGCTGCCGCAGCTCCAGCACGCCGCGGCAGTGGCGGCTGCCAATCACTTGTACGAGTATCAAGCAGCCGCGCAAGGCGCCTACCAGCATCAGTATGCTGCCATGGACCCCTACGCCACCGCAGCCGGTCAGTAGCGTTCTTTACATACTACTGATCTTATTTAAGGTGTCGTCAGAGACAATCTTAATATCTCTGCGTCGTTCTAACGTATAACGTATGGTTGCAGCAGCGGCAGCGGCAGCTAGCGGTGCAGGGTATATGTCTCCGTACTACACTCTGCAGGGTGGGAGTGTCCAAGCACCCCTTCTGCCCCCCCTGTCCTATCCTCCTCAGCTTCAGGAGGCACGAATGCAGTGAAGACACCTGTCAAAGTGATGTCGTAGCGTTACCACACACGAGCCAAAAGTATATTTTTGACAACTTTATGAAAAACCAAATATTCAAATACAAAGTTTAAAGTGACCAAAGCTGTAGAATAAGCCTACGATGTTAGCCTCGAGTTAACTAATGTATAGTACACGTTGATTACTAAAAATTATATTATTTTTGAAAACTAAATGGTAAATGATAACAATAAGGTGCCTTAGTCAAAGACTTCAATTGGCCTTTACTATAGGTACTACAATATAATTAGAAACACGAGAAATACTTAATTAGCCTGCCAGTGTACGTGTAATACTATGTCAAGTAAATTAATAAAAAAAATCGTAATAATTTGTACTTATGTTCATCGGGACATTTAGACGTTACTCGTTGTTGTGACAAATCATTTGAATTCTACTACTAATAGCATTGTCAGAACTAAGATGAGCTCAATCTTTTCGTTCACCCCCTTCAAAAAACAATCGCACTAGAAGAATTCTTTTAAATAGAAGCTTTTGTTTTCTGGTTGGTTTTATCCATATTAACTTGAATTAATAAGGTCTATTAGTTAATGTACCTGCGAAGTCCCAATTAAGCATGTCACGGCAGCGGTACACGCGACCCGACGGACAGCTCGTAGTATATAAGTAAGGTTACGCCATGCTTGCCCATGACTTGTATCATCCTCAACCAAAGGTTCCTACCATTATCTCCTTATACAATATCGTTGGAACGTAAAGCTCTCTCGATAGAGGATAACCTATTGTGATACAGAGTAATGAAGCAATAATCACTTAAGTATCGAGATCTGTGTTTATTTGGTACGGGGTAATTGTGGATGTGTAAATGTACGCGGAAGGCTTCATAAGCTTAATTGTTTAGATTTCTATTGTTTAAACATGTCCATGTTGCTCAATGTGTCCTAGAATGGACTTGGTTTAGTTTAAGGTCGGAGGAGAGGGGTTTACTACGTAAAATTAGCAAAAATACTTATTCTTAATTATAATGCGTATAACATACGACCCTAGTAATATTCTCCAAAGCGGTTTAGGGTACTTAATAGTTAGAATAATTCAATTACTAGTCCTTGTAATATTAATTGTAATGAAACTTTACTAACGCCGGCCGTGACGATTCTATTTCTATTTGCCATTTACCAAAAACCAAAACCATTTTTTTTTTCAATGTTACACACTTCATATGTTTATCGAAATCTGATTCGTATAATAGTAGACATAAATAATATACTGATTTGGTGTAAGCAGTATCTAGCGACGGCTAGCGTTTAGTACAAGTTAAAGCTAAGGCACTAGAATGATTAGATTATTAAATAATTAACATAATATATGTATGTTTAAGATAATCTTAGGTGTAATATTCTGTTATTCGTAATTTATTTTGTTGATATTTGTAAATCTACATGTTGATACTATTTATTATGTGGAAGAGGAATAAAAATTGTTAAATATTAATAAACCGAATTGAATCTCTTACAGCTGAGCATATGTAGTTAGCGCCAAGCATAATCCAAGTCACAATTTCGCATTATCACGGATGACTCGGTAGCAGTCAAAAGCATCAATAACGATTAGCAAACTGTCAGATTCAACCCATGTAGCTTGGCGCCATCTCTATGTTAGCAACGTGATTCGGCTCGATATATTGAATTATAGACATTATATAAGTATAAACATACCAAATATAACATTGTAAGTATGTATACCATGGTCTAGTGTACTACTTGTGTCCCCTATTAGTAAGACACTATTTAGCCACTAGACGCGGATATTCACTTTTAAAATGCCATATAGTGAGGCCATCTTGCCGTAATATAGAAGTTAAAAATTATTAAAAAAATGTTTATTACCCTACATAGTATATACATATCATCAAACAATTAATGATTTTAAGACCTAATGAAGGTGTTGATTCACTGTCAGTCCAATAAGTGCATTTCATCGCAGTATTTATTGCACAATAATTGTTTATGTATAACATAATATTATTAAACTATAAATATTTTATATATAAATTCTTAAAATATACCTAATAACTTGTTAAACCAATACTGTATAATATGTGGCAGTATTCAATATAGGATAAACAAAATATGTATATGTTACAGTACTTAATTTAGGATATGGAAAATAATAATTTTTTAAGTACAATTGCTGTTTCTTTTAATAATATTCCTTCGAAACTTCAACATTCATTTACAGATAGCTATTTACTTGAATTGTCTTTACTTTACACCAAGTGAAACTTGTTTCCTCCACTTTTCGATATTTATCTAATTCTGTCCATAATTTTAGAATAACTGAAGACTATATGAAATCAATTCAAATCATCTTCATAGTAAACCTACTGTTCAAGTTCAATACAACTTCGTCTTCTTGCGAATGCGATTTATTAACCATGGGTGCTAAAGGGCACTTATAACGTGCAGTTATATAGGTAATATACTAAATAAGTTTCTAAACGAATATATTTAAAATTATTAGTTTCATTTAAATGGCCGGTACTCGCGTATACTAAAGATAGTAGGCGTTATTTGTTACAAAACCTCAAGTATCTATTCAAATCATCGTTTTAATGAAAAGGTGCTCACAATAGAAATTAACAAAAGTTGTATTTACTATACAATGTATATGAAACGACTTGATTTTTGAACAAAATGGCTGAACTATAAAGACGTGTTTATGCCTGACGCACAAGCTGTGTAGGCCAAGAAATGGGGTTAGAAAACGACTCCATCACATAAGTATGTTATTCTATGACTAATTACTAATTGTAAGATATTATGAGCGATTAAAGACTATTATTTTTATATTAAAGGGATTAATTTAAGGGAATGGCGTCAACAGGTACCGTTGGACACCTGTACCTATCTATTTATTTAAGGTTAACATTATATAAAAATTTGAAATTACATATTAAGTGCTTGTCCTAATAGAAATTATGCACATGTACAAATGTACTCTATGAATATGCTATTAAGTATTAACACTGTGGTATGTCTATTTTGCCAAGCACTATCTTTAGAATATGACGTAAACTAACTACGCCGTTGATTTGTGTTAATTTGTAATTGAAAATAGTACTCACTAGAGGGCGGTAATTAAGAAGAAAGTGAAATCATTTTATTGGGTTCCTACTTCCGTTAAACTTTATAAAAATCCTGGTGAACGTTACATCGCGAAAAATAGGCATTTTTGGTTATATTCAAATAAAGTTAATTGATTATTAATATTTTACACCGTTATAAATATATTCAAAATATGCTATTATATATATTCCTGAGCAATTTATACCTATTGTGTAATTATTGTGCATTAAGCAACAATATCTTAACAGAAATAAATACAAATGAATTGAATTTATTTTATAAATGTGTGTTTGTATTAACAACTTTATTATTGTATATTCTCGGTTTAATTGGAGCAAAACTTAAGAGACTCAAAATCACCTTTTATATACATTTACTAATGAAATTGGAGATTTGTATGTAACAATAAATATGTATCGACCCTTGTAATGTCAATAGTGGACTCTGATAAAAAAAATATTAGTGGTGTAATATTAATTCCTCAATAGAAAAAAACACAAAGTCACCTCTAATTTTTGTCTCATCCCGTTATTATATAATAATGGCACCTAATATTAAAAATTTATTACTAATTTATTAATAAATTAATTTTACATTACATTAGTTTGATCTTGACCTAGACCATAATTGACGAGTTTTTTTTAATAAAAAGGATTTTGCGCTTACTTAATTTTGCTCCGCAAAATACTGTATCGTCCATCTCTTGTCAAGCGAACTTCGAACGTTTTTTTCACCAGAGTCCAGACAGCAGTCAGACGCTAGCCGCAAATCGCAATCGCTCCATTGTGATGAAAATATTAAACCTGTACTCGTAATACTCTTGCGCTATCGCTCGATAAATACCTACCATTACGAATAAATGCGAAAGTTTGTTATTCTATTTATTATTGTAAATAACAAACTTTCGCATTTATAATAATAGGTAGAAAATATAACGTAATTAATCAATTGAATAAAATTTCAAAGATTCAATAAAATTTGTGTGTGGAAATTTGAAAAGTGAGTGGAAGAAGAAGCGCGGATGAAATCATAACAATGGGTCCCCGTATCAAGTCGGAAAATGCATATATTATCTATATAATGGTGTTCCTTTTACTCGATTAGGTACAATACTTTTTAATCATTGAAATCGGTAAATTGGTTGCGAAGATATTACACATTTTGTACAAGCCAACCGCGGGGCGGCCGAAATGCTTATGTGACGTCACGAGATCCCTACCGCCCGCGCTCTCGCTCTCCCGGACTCCGCCATTCATTTATTAAAGTTTACTCGATCTGCGCGGGTCGTGTTGTGGTTTTGTGTTATGTAAAAATATGCCGCATTATAAGTACTGTATAGTACCGAAATGTACTAATACTTCAACTAGTACACCTGAAAAACTGTTTTTTAATGTGCCAAGGGACCTGAAAGTTCGAAAAAAATGGTGTACTGTCATGAAGAGGGATGACACCGCTTTCGTGCCACACCGTAAGATATTGTTGCGAGAATCATTTTGATGTAAGTAGCTCCGTATACCACTATTATCATCATTACTCATGTGGTAAACAGTAACTTATTAAAAGTGACCTCAATAATTGATTGTTTCGAGGTGCAAATTCAAAAACCAAGTAATGCCACACACCAGGCATTAACTTGGTCGCAATACAAAAATTGCAACACCATTAAATTTCTGATTTCCATTACACCTGATGGAATGATTAATTTTATTTCTGAGGAGTATGGAGGGCGGACCCCAGATTCCACGATCTTTGAAGACTGTGGGTTTCTAGATGAACTCACACCTGGGAGTTTGGTTTTGGCGGTCAGAGGATTCAAAAATGTAGCCCATTTATTAGAACAAAAACAGTATAAGCTTTTAAGACCACCTAGTGTTAGTTCAAGCTCAAA